TAGGTGGCCGGCAATGGACAGTTCACCCATCGCTATATATCAAAAATATTTGACGCCAGCACACTTACCGCGGATGAAATCTCGTCATCTTAAACAGCTTCCGCCATGTTTGAGTTTTGTGACACTGCTTGCGGATTTCAATATGCGAAAACCAAGCTACTGAGTGCCATATGCACATTCGAACAGAACCGTGCCCTATAACAGGTGAAGACAGCCATGCATACGTTGCCGTTTTGTTCGAATTGTCAATGAACGCCACTTTCGCTCTTTTGAGTCTGGCTTTTCTGCACCTCGCTCTCGGTGCGCTACGAAGATTGTCGTGTGGCAGGATCCGGCTTAAAGTGGCCTAATGCAAGAGAGTTTGATGCCTCAGACAATGCATATGCTGACAAGAACCAAGAAACACGTTCAAAATATGCAATTTCGCAAATAACTACTGGTTCAACCGTCGAGCGTTTACCGTGTGCTCCTAGTCATACCCGATAGTTAGAGTGGCAAAGTAGGTGATAAATTAAAATTACACCAATGTCTAGCATTATGATTCTTATGAAAAATTTGTATCCATCTATCTGTAAAAATAACAATGATGTGGTAAAGCTGATGAGTAGGGCATATTTTGTCCCTTTGAAACAAAATGCGATTGATAAAGGAAACTGCTTAGCAAAGAACGCCACTTAGGGATTATAAATTACTATACGACCAAGCATTGCAAGTTTAGCCCAGGTTCTTACCTGAAATTCGGCTCAAATGTTTCAACAGCTTTTAGAGTAAGCAATATCTTGTAGGGGCACAAGAAGAAGCTTAAGGATTATGCATCGATGTTTATAGAACGCTGCATTTTAACATTAACACTTTGCAAGTGCAACTTACGTTGAAATGGGCGCTTGCTGAAGTTATGCACATTGGCTTCCTCAGAAAGAAATCAGGTCTGCCACCTGAAGTGTACTCTCGCTAGCTATGTGGGTGGGAACACGTGTGGAATGGTGTCACCATTCGCGATGTGGTGCATTCGCGGCGGCCTCTACCAGAAACGCATGTAATGCGCGCCATGGTTTCGTTGACTGAAGCCACTTCCGCCACGCTAGCGTTGAAACAATATTACGGCGGACTGTGAGACTAGCCACTCGTGATCGTAAGGCGGAAAACGACGTGCAGTACTCTCAGTAAAGCTCGGAGCTAAACATTGCTCCTAATCTTTTCCACTATTTTGTTTTTGTACGTGTTTATGTGCTGATGTGTGTGTGTGTGTGTGTGTGTGTGTGCGTGCGTGCGTGCGCACGCGCGCGGTTATGTATGCCTGAGTCTGTGTTTGTCTGTGGGCGTGCGTGTGTGTGTGTGTGTGTGTGTGTTTGTGTGCGCGTCACACGCAAAAAGAAGATAAAGCAAATAGAAAAAAATAAATGGTACTCTTCACGGCAGCGCGTCAACGCTGCAACAGCCGCAACAATATCAAGCCATGTGTTCCGCTCGTCGTATTAAGAGCAGATGCCTGTGTGTGTGGGGGGGGGGGTCACAACAGTTCTCGAAAAAAGTGATGTTTTAAGTGAAACTTCCTTCAAGGAACCACTACAGCTTGTCGTCCGTACATGTATCTCATGTGGCGTGACAAGCTCGTAGTAAAGCATTCATTACAGGCCACAACCGGGCTAGCACTGCTCAAGCTTGGAATAAAATGAACTAACAACGTCTCAAATTATCTTTTCAAAAAAAATAGCAGCAAAATTGGTCCCCTAAGTTTGGTCTGAGCAAAATACCAGTTTTATTAAAGACTGAAGTGATCTGGACGTAGCCCTTTATGCATAAATTCTGATAACCGAGAGGAGTTCAGGTTAAGGACCTCAGGGAGTCTTTGAGGCCTATTTTATGGCCTTACTGAAGTAGCATTTTGAAAGCACGATGAGCAGTGTTGCTTCTAACTTTGCTCTAGCGTGATCACGGGAAGTGCAGGGCGAAAAGTACTGAATGAAGTTTCAACCGATGGTGCAAATTGAAAAGCCCTCAGAATAGAGCGATTGTAGGACGCGCAGAACGAAAACGTCGATATTTCGTACGTTCGTGCCAGGGACCGGCCTTCACAAAAAAAAAAAAGTATTTTTCTTGATAAAGGCCCGTCTCTGGCTGAAACGCAGGAAAAATGAAAAGTCGTTCTGCACGCTCTCTACCTCATGGAATGTATATATATATATATATATATATATATATATATATATATATATATATATATATATATATATATATATATGGAAGGAATACGCAAGCAGGTTGATCAATGGGCCAAACGCATCGTTAAAAAGGGATACTACGTACAAAAATGTGCACAGTATATACCTCATGGAATGTATATATATATATATATATATATATATATATATATATATATATTGACATACATCAGGGAAAGTCACCAATCGCCTACACTTTTCTACTTTTCTAATACCTTTTCTGAGATTGGGCAGTTTGTCTTCTGACCCCGCAGTGTTAATGCTGAGAAAATTTGACCTCAATTCCGCCATTTTTCATTTCTACATTTTGTTGCTGATATATATCGGCTGCTGCAATAAAGGTTTGCACCAAACGGTAACAGCGATTGGTGATTCATTCACTCTACTTGTAGGGTGTCAAATGTTCATACTTTCATTGCTGCCTATCGTCGCGTTTTCTGAGCATCGAGAATTCGCGATTCGCCACAAACGCCGACGTTGTCAATGCAAGTGTATTGTTTCATGACATGGGAGGTTTACACACGGCTCATCACACTACTGAAACCATCAACAAGATGAAGTTTGAGTTCTTGCAACACCCTTTCTACTACCAAGACCTAGCTTCATGCGACTTTCACATATTTGGGCCACCAAAAATGCCTTGTGCGGTTCACTTTAACGTGCAAAATGGGGTGCAAAAGGGGCTTCCCGACCAACAGAAGAGCTTTCATTTGGAAGGAATACGCAAGCAGGTTGATCAATGGGCCAAACGCATCGTTAAAAAGGGATACTACGTACAAAAATGTGCACAGTATAACCCTATGTTGACGTTAATAAACTCTATAACGAAAAGTATAGACAATGTCTTGCTTGATTGATATGTGCGGTTTAACGCTCCAAAACCACCATATGATTATGAGAGACGCCGTGGGCAGGGCTACGGAAATTTCGACCACCTAGAGTTTTTCAACGTGCATCCAAATATGAACACGCGGGCCTACAGCATTTCCGCCACCATCGGAAATGCAGCCGCCGCAGCCGGGGTTCAATCCCACGACCTGCGGGTCAGCAGCCGAGTACCTTAGCCACTAGACCACTGCGGCAGGGCAAGACAATTTCTTGCTTGCCTTCGTATATATATATATATAGAGTTGTATTCCTGAGCTGAAGAAAACATCAGTTGTTTACATAAAATTTAGGCCACTTTATTGGCGATGCTTTTCATTTGAGCATGAATTTTGGTTGCTTAGCACGTTTTGATAAATGTGGTAATCAGCAGGACCATACATAAGGTTTTTCCGTCCATCCATTGTGCGCACTGAGAAGTGCAGTCATCATTGAACGAGTTACGGAGTCCAATTAAGATCTCATAAACGTTCCCCGGCACAACATGCTGAAGGACAAAGAAGGACTTCACTTTTTACGAGTACATTGGCGCTTATCTAGCAGGAAGTTTTGGTTCTTTCTTTGCAAGTATCACTTATCCCCCCTTCTCAGCTTTCTGAGATCGAACGCTAGCTACAATCTTTCCTGTAGACACAGTGGCACATTTCCCAACACACAAGTCACAGCTAAATGACACAGTCCTCAAGACGCAAAGCGCTGTGCATAGCCAGACTTGCAGACAATTATTGATCGCTATGACATGAGAGACATTCGATCGTCTAACGAAGTATGTTTGTAAAATTGAAATTCGCCCTGCTATAATTTTTTTAACTAAACGTGTAAGCATTGGTTCCGATAATGCTTTCAAAGGGGACATTATTATACTTTGCGCAACTCATACAAAAAAAGTTTGTGCAAATTGATCTGCAGAGACGCTAAAGAGTTTAGACACAGTGACTCTGCAGTGGCCTTTCACTCTTCAAGAAGTTGAGATAAACATAAAGTCGGGGTAGACAGTGAAGTAAACGTCTTATCAGCCTAATAACAGTTCGGAGAGCGTATTCAGAATGAGTGGTATCCTTTCGTTCGAAACCTCTACGCCTTATCAAGTTGGCGGTTAAGCTATGCAAAGCGTATATCACACAGTATTTTTCTAAGGGGCCAGCTGTATAGAAACCACGAGTTATAGAATGTATTGACTCTTAACAAATCAACTCCCAAGGATATTCTAAAAAGTGATCTAAATAGAAAAGTAGATCCAGAAGAGGAAAGGCCGTAATGTTAATGTGAAGAGCGTACAATTTTACCTCGTGTGTAGTGCCATACACTGGAAGTGAGGGTATGGGTGCAAAAAAGAGAAAGAAGAGAGAAAAAGGAAGGACTGCAATCACATAGCAGTACAATTTGACTCACATGTTCGAGTACTTTATCATACGTGATTTCCACGCTCTGACATAAAAGTGAGAAGCAGATGTCTTCTTTTTTTTTTTAATTCAGCGTGTGTTATGTGAGTCACGGGGGTCACTGACGAACTCGAAGACACTAGCTCAAGAGCACCCAGCACTCACTCCAGGTACTCGGTTTCTACCGTCAATCAAAAATCATGCGTATTTCATTCATTTTTTTGTTTTCCTCAGGTAGCTCGTAGAAAACCAACCAGCTTTTGTTGGGGCAGCGTATGATGCCTCCCGCGTAGTATATTCGAGTTTGGCTGTGGCAATGACCTTCACTGGGTCTTTAGAAGTTAAACTTAGGTACATATTGTGCGAAAGTTAGCTCTGACATTGCTAAATTAAGTTCGCACCTTCTGAATGAAGGCAGATGCATGCAGTGTAGTGCCCGTGCATACTAAATTTTTAGAATTGTTGGCACCGTATTCACTTATTACTCCTGGGCTTTTCTTTTACATCGCAGGTAGTGCTGAACTCATGGATGCTTTCAGGTATGATGCACAAGCTTTATAGGTAAACATTTCACCCACCTAGCTACTGAAAAACGTACAGACCAAGGCTTACTATATTTTTCTTTAAATGAAATCTTCTGAATCTGACTTTTGTGGAATGAATTACTTGGCACAACAATGACGCACTTATAAAATTTGTATTAACCATGGTAATAAGGGTTGCAGCGCAAGCACGAAGGTGCTAGAAGAAACGTGAAACGAAAGGCCTTTCTTTTCACGTTTCTTCTAGCACCTTCATGTTTGCGCTGCAACCCTTATTACCATGTAATTTAACCAACTAGCCGAAATAGCCGTTCTTCTTGTACTAACCACTCTCTTAAGAGGCCTCAGGTTAAAAAGAATAAATTATTTAGCAAAGATTGGCAAAATTTTTCAAATAGCAATAATAAAACTGCCTGCGTTTTGATCATAAGGACCTTTTCTCAGTAACACACAATAAAAAACATTTTTCTAACAAACAAAAATATTTTCTAACGAACAATTTTTACTTTGTTATGTTCAACAAATAATTAGTGATAGACATACATGCATTTGACACTTTTTCATCATTTTGTACTTGTAATCAGGCTTCGAAAAAAATAACTTCATAAAACACGAGTAAGACATTGTGGGCCACTGACCACACTAGAGCGAGCATAACTTTTATGTTTAGCTATTTCCGTGAAGGAGCATCATTACATTGGCTCCATTTCTAGGAAACATAATCTTCAGACTCAACCTCACAGTGTCGTGTCGTTGTTCCCAACAGTTTTCATAGTGAAGTCCTGTCATGAGTTTTCAGCTATGGTATTAGCCGATTTTTTGGTTTTCGTTTTCCGGTTAAATTGACCAGATATATGCATAGAAGCTAAGTGACTAACATTTTCTCGTTCGGCTACATTGTTGTGTGTATCACCTTTCAACCTTTATTCGTGCTTGCAGCTTTTATATGACCCAAGGACTTTGTTTATATCCTTTATTTTCAGCCCTTCTATTATACTGCTCCTATTTCCCGCTACACATAAATCTTCCGAGTAATCGATGTTCTCATATGCTACCACAGTACAACTATGAAATTTATTCTGTGATATCGAACGTTGATATTGATGCGGAACGCGCGAGACATTCGTATAACGAAGGCGCCAGTATATGACACCTTGAGTGCCCGAGCCACACCACTCATACAGTACATCATGACTGCCAGCTATGCTGGCTTAAAAAGTTCACTAAGCATGAGCAAACAGCAATTTATAGCTCTTCTCTGCAGAAATATTAGGCGATTTTATACACACTGTTCCTAGAGTTTTGTTTAAGAAGTGGCAAGAGCACCAGGGGAAAGTTCCAGCATGACAGAAGTAAAAACAACTGTAAATGGGCGAGTTACATAATAAAAATGGCTGAAGGTTGAGTTGCATTGTATAAATATGAATACAACAAGCGTGTTGAAATAGACGTGAGTGACCATTACACTACGGCTATCTTAAGAAGGTTCGTTGAGGTGTGACTCATAAACACTTATACATGCTTAGGTGACTCAAGATCTTGAAGTGGGTGCTTGAAAAACGCCATTTTTTAGGTCAGCTGTCTGATGTTCTACACATCGTTTATTAATGAGTTTTAATGAACAGCACTGGCACGTGTTCGTTCATGTTCCTTCACATTGGATACGCCTTAAGTTACACCGTGCTCTAATATGAATGAGATATGGCGCGGGGAAAAAAAGCCGGTAAATTCGCGACTATCTCACGAATATTAATAAAACTCAAAGCACAACTGCTCAGGGCCTCTAGGTTTTGTATACCTAACCACCACTCAGCCATATATCTCAACTCAGTCACACGTACGCTGCGAATAGCTGAGTTACGATGTGAAATAGCAAAAGTGCGTGGACATTTTCAGTGGCCGTAAATGTTCTACCCCGCAAGCTGATCGTATTGACCAAGAGTCACACAGAAGACTACATCGAAAGTCCAAACTATCCAGATGACTATTACCCTCAGGACATACAAATTCAGTACAAAGTTGAGGTAAGTGGCGAGAATATGTCTGGCGTTCTAATTGCATAAATGAGTAAGAAATTATAGTTGAAACCCCACCAGAAATGGCTTCACTGACAATTGATTTTGTGACTTAGTTCATTGAAACAGCTTTTAGTTTAAATTAATATGGAATATTTTAGGGTTTCTGACTTGAACTTACCATTTTTTTACCCTCATGGGTTAGCATGAGTGTTTTCTGTGCAAATGTGCTAAATTAGAAGGCTTCGAAATATAGTATAACTAAATTAATGCGAAGAATGAAAAAGGCTGACTACTCAAACCTAGTAGCCAAATGTAAGGGAGACAATGTTAGGTGCATATTCCTTAGTTTCGGAAAAATCGCTAGTTATAAAACTTAAAATGTGATCATAGCCTCTTTCTAGTATCTATAGAGTTCTGTAAACTTTCTGTAAAACACAGAGAAATAGACTACGCAGTAGTCGGGCATGAAAGAATTCAGTTTTTACGGGATAGGGAAAATCCGTATGATGTTGTCAAGAACGTAGCGGATGATAGTGAGGCTTCCATGCGAATCAATAATTAGCACATCATAGGTCAACCAAGAACAACGCAGACATTATTACAAGTTCCGATATCTAAGATAGTGGGGCTGAAATATTAGTCATGCATGTTATATATTTGATTGGTTGTTTTGCTGTCGTCTTGACGAAACAAAACAGTGCAATTGGTGAGATGTGCACGTGCAAAAAGTTATATGAAGTCCTAGACGAAAAAAAAGAATAACCGGTAAATTTTGGTGAAGATTGCTTGCGCCTAACATTTTTTGTATTAAAGAGCACCTCACAACCAGTGGCTAGAAAAGAAATCGATAGAGGCACTCTCATCTTCATTTATTGATTCACTTTTATATGTGTAAAACTGATAACATTAAATTGTGTATTTGAAGAAATCTTATGTAATAAGGCCGCCTGCTACCTGACATCAATAGGCAAAAAAAAGAAGACTGTTCCACACTTGCCGTCACTGCTACGAACGGCACTGAGTAACAATCCCAGGTTTAAATGCACATTTACGTGTACTCGACAAAATGTACGGTGGATGACCACAGTCGTTTCTTGCTAGTTCGTTGGTTTTCATTAAGTTTGTGTCTAATAAATAAAAACTAGGCTTTCAAAGTCATGCAACTTCACTTATTGAGAAGCGAAGAGCAATGAACTGAAGAAAAGTATAGGGGCGTTATTTTAGTTATGGTGGTCTAAAGGCGAATAAATTAAATTGAGCTAAAAGGCAACATGCCACCGGTACGTACCAAACCTGTAACATAAGAATGCTCTATAAATGCTCCAATGCTCTACCTATTGAGCTACGGTGACGGTCGTACTGTGAGAAAAAGGCACACGCTTCTGAACCAAAAGATTAACGAGCACACTTCCTTAGCACAGCAGCACTTATTTTTGTCCTAATAAACTTGTTGTTTTAAGTAGCATTTAAATTAATTTACGAATAAATATGAAAAAAAATCTCTTTAGCACAGCGTCTGCTGCTGAAAGGTCGGATAGGTAATTATCGTAAAGAAACAACAAAGGAAACATTAGAAGTTATCCGTGTTCACAAAAACGTAAGTACGTATTTTAGCGACAGAGATATGAGATATCGTCAGTGAGATGTGAAAATTGCAGTAATAAGGCCTTCCCAAAACATCATTTTGTTTTGTGATTTTATGAGGATACCGACAATGTAAGGCTGCAATGTCCGTACTATCTTCTATTTCTCCAACGTGATCATAATGCACCTATAGAAAAACCAAAATATATATATTTTAAAAGCAATAAAAGATAAGCCTCCTACAGATCGCCATGTTCTGAGCACATACTTTAAAGACAACGCCACATGGAGCGTGTTTTGTTCTACAGCACACTTCGACATCTAGCCTTCCTTTGATAAGGTGCGCATGATTTTTTGGAGTCACAACTGGAGTTAGCGTTATCAACGAGACATACATTTTTCAGGACGAAATTCTCGAGGACTTAGTTTCAAGAATTTAGTATTGAAGCAACACGGTTGACGCATATTGTCATACATGTGCGCAGTGTTGCTCATTGGGAGAGGGGTGGTAATATTTTACCCCCCTCCACTTTGTCTAGTACTAAAGAAAACAAGCTTTTCAGTGGATTAGAAAATCAGAAATGAAGAGAGGAGGTGCTTCCCACAATAAGATACCTTGAGAAAGAGGTAAAAGAAAAAGTGACTTCAATGGCCTTCAACCGTCATTACTGTCAAAAACCTGCATGCCAGTCACCTTCCATTTGCAGCAATGGCGGGGAAGCCACGAAAAACTAAAGAAATGGGGTAGGTTTGCCCTTTCCCTTCAGACGATGAGGAGAGGGGCTGCCCCCCCCCCCCCCCTTTCAGGCAAACGCCTCTGTACATTGCAATGGAATTGAAGTACACCACAAGCACACTCTACATACTGTGCAAGACTAAAACGACCTTCGAAAGTTCTTCAGAGTGCAGGTCTTACAGCGTCAGCGTTTATCTATGACATCCGTGCAGGCAAAACTGGGCAACGAGGTTCTCCAGGAGATGGCGCGAATCCAGGTGACGTTCGAGGTCTTCCTTATGGAGCGCAGCGCCTTCTGCCACAAAGACGGCCTCGACATCGTCGACAGAACCGGAGAAGTGAGAGCGTAAGGGGGTCTCGGAATACCAGCGCGTGCCTCGCATACCTATAACTAGATTGAACGCACGTGTCGGCTGATGCGTTTTACATTGAGATATCTATAGGTCACTTAAATGTCATGACTGGAGTCTTTTACACCACGCACCTTCTATAGCATCCTTTTACTTTTCCCCTGTCGTATAGTCAAGCCCCATTGGTACTTTTTGTACTGTCATGCAATTCGCACTGTTACAAAATTTACAATTCGCAAATTACAATTCGCACTGTTACGATTACAATTCGCACTGTTACAAAAAATTCGCACAGTTACAATTGAGAACATAGCAGCCAAATATACAATGGATCGCGATTATCATGTTTGCGATATTCGTACGAAATCAAAGTGATCAGAAGGTTGCGAGGATGCAAATAATTCTCAGGTTTGTGTAAAGTAAGAATAGGACACGTATATGTCCTTATCCGTAGTATTTACACCCCAGTAAAATGTCTTTGCACTGAAATAAAGTGACCACGTTGAAACTTGCATATCGAATGCACTTGAACATTAGGTGTAACAAAAGGGTGTTCACGTCAGCAGGTGCAGTTGGCAAAGCATAGTAAAGTTTTAACAAGCTGTGTACAATACAGCACTGCCCATTCATTTAAGAAAAAAGACAACAGCACATCCACGAAGTCAATGATGGCGAGTGTGTGAAGCTGTTACTGCGATATCAATGATTGATGATGAAGGAGCTTGCTCCATCTTTCCATCCGTCCGTCTATCCGTCCGTCCGTCTGTCTGTCTGTCTGTCTGTCTGTCTGTCTGTCTGTCTGTCTGTCTGTCTGTCTGTCTGTCTGTCTGTCTGTCTGTCTGTCTGTCTGTCTGTCTGTCTGTCACAGCGCGCACCTCCATGTCATCATGGGATTAATTCGAATACTAGCGATGCGAGTGCCATCTCGTAAACACATCGCGTACTAGGGGTGGCTACGATAGACAACTACAATTGCAGACAAGCCTATTATGCGTTAAGGAGTTTAGCCCCTAAAAAAGCAAACCTAATGAGTCAGGTCCAAGCCGCCAAGTATAGGCTGCCTTCCAGTCCTTCCGGGAAGAGTTGGGTTGTGGTGAGGATGGGGGTTTTTCGGCACGCCCACAACATGTGTAAAATGTCACAGGAATTCTCTTCCCAGTAGAGCCTCTAGTCTGTGCATTTGGGGTTAAAGTGATGCAGCAATGCCGGGCAAAACGAAGTTTTCGTGTAAATACGACGGAGGATTCACTCCTCCCCCTTTGTGAGGCCCTTACAGGGTTTCGGATTGATGTGATTGTCAGGATTCGTAATACGTGAACTTGCGATGTTGCCGTTCGGTCTGTTGTTAGACCTACGTAACTGACACTGCGTGTGTGAAAGCGATGCCTTCACACACGCAGTCTATTGTTCTAGTGCAGTGATTGCTCTCACTACTGCCCGTGCAGGTACTGTGGTCCACAGAGTGGTCGCAACTTCCTGATGGAAGACAGCGTGGTTTTGATGCGCATGTACACAGATGCAAATGGCCGTGACCGGGGATTCCGGATCCGTGTTCGCCTCTACGAGTCACCCTGCGGTGGACTCTTGCGGGTCTTTCGGTCAGGGTACATCACCTCCCCTGACTACCCGTACAGCTATGGGGCACACAGGTTGTGCGTATGGAGGATACAGGTGAGAACGAGGTGTTTCAAAACGAATGAACCGATGATGCTACCCAGAGCGTGATTTATTGCATGTTAATAATTTAAATTCAACCTCATATATACTCTATCGATATCGATTAGCACGGTTTGTTTATTTATTTATTACTTGCTCTTTTATTTAGTTCTTTTGTTTTGTCTCTTTGTTTGCGTACACAACAAGTGGCAGAGCTATTCAACCGTTATAGGTATAAACAAAAACTCTTAAGTGGTGCAGAACTTCTATAATCGACATGCTGTTCTAATATAGAATAACACATACTACCAACGACAGTAATGCTTTTTGCAGTGTCGGGACCCAACAGTATAATAATGCTTTGTTATTGTTGAATGGCCATTTGGACAGCATGGGCCCTAATGGTGTCTGTACATTTCTCAGTGGTTCAAAAGGCGCTGAAACACCTCTAGAGCTTTTTGAGAACGATAGACTTGTGTGAATGCCTTTGACTTGCGGTGCAGTTCCACACCCTGTAGTGAATTCACTGCCTCTCTCTTTTCCCCCTCCCCTTTCTCCTTTCGTCTTTCTATTCCTCTTTCCTACTTCCCCAGTGTAGGGTAGCCAGCCTCAAGTCTTTCTGCTTAACCTCTCTGCCTTCTACCTTTGTATTTGTTTCTTTCTTTGACATCCACGGCATTGAATGAAAAATAACCAACAAATATTCATCATAAACTTGTTCGGAACAAGAGTTTCATCACATGACTAATGGGTGAAAATGAAAAGGGGCTTCAAGGTATTTTATATATAGATTGTCGTCATTTAATTGCTGTATTCACTTCTCAAAACAACCTCTAACAGTAGGACTTAAAATTTTCACAATTTTCGGCATGGCATTGTTGTCTTGAATAAATTTACGCGAAGACCTAAATGCAGAGGGCTATTTGCTAAGCAAACAAAGGCAGCCAAGCTCTTAGGTTCCATTCATTTGAATTCCACAACTATGTACTGCATTGCGCAATTGACCGGTCAAAGTTTTTACAATATTAGGTTGTATTCCATTTGGAGGGCTCTCCCTAAATTTTTTTAACTCGTTATAGGCTGGTATAGTTTAACCACGAACAGGTATTAATTTGAATTTTCATGGTATTATAAAGCCAGCTTCCTTCCAACACACAATGAAGCAGAAATATTTGATGCACTGAGACGTTAAGTCAAACTATTTCACGTCACAGAAAAAGAAATGTGGCCTGCTCAATTACGCTGGCATATTTTTTTTTCGCACAGCAACGCTCAAAAACTCATTTTAAAGCAATTTTAAATGAAGTAGTTGAGAAAGAGCAATAGAGAGGAAAGACAGAGAGGTTAACCAAGCTTCGCTCGGGAAATGGAGTAGTAATGAACCTAATAACGTTTCTCGTTCAGCGTTTCAATGCAGATAGCGACATATAAGAGCACAGCAAGAACGTTGGGCACGAAGGACACTGTGTCTCACTACGTGTAAATGTAAATATGCGGGCTAATGAGGTCGCAGAGGCTCTGACTTATACTTACATTTGTTCTTAAGACAATATATATCGGTACACAAACATTCGTTCACATAATTATATTCACTAAAATATTGAATGAAAGAACGGTTTTACAAAGTATAAAAGTTGTCACTAAAGCTGTGTAGAAAACTTAAACGAAACGATCAGAGTACCTTCGGCAAATATAGGCCCTGATTTTTCGGGGCGCTACAACAGAAGGGCAGTCGATACGACTGTTTTCCTCAGCGTCCGGTTTAAGGAGTCGGCCTTCAGTTAGGGAGTGCCATGTGTGAGAGTGTGGAAGTGCTACGCACCATAAATTTCTAAAGCCTTCCTGAAACAGAAACATACTGAAGTGTCCGTTTATTTGGCATTCAATGCAACAGCATTACTGTCAAGGATACAAAAGCAATCTATATCTGGTGTACCGTGTAACCTGTTCTCTCACGCACCACATTATGCGAAAGAGTTCACAAGCGTCTCCCAAGACTGCGTGGCACAGTTATGGCAACATGTTGAAAGATGAGACTGACAAAGGTGAATGAAGGGAAAAATGTTTCGTGTCTGACGAAATTTTGATACTTGATTTACAGGCCGTCTATGGCATGCGCATCAAGCTGAGCTTCGATGGCTACTTCGATATCAGAAGTGATGACCACGACACCTGCTTTATGGACTACCTTGAGATTAGCCGGTCCGGCAACTTCCAAAAGGATTCACAGCGGTAAGATCACACGCCATAGATTCTTGGCGAATGAACGCATCTAATTATTGGTAATGTAATAACAAGCACTGTATAGGCTAAAGCATCGCAAACATGCCTGCGTGAAAACCTTTCCTCAAGGATAAGTCGGTTGCGTGGTTGCTCATTTCTGAAGTGATCTTACTCTACGACGGAAATGCAGCCCGTCATAGTAAGAACTTCACTTCTCACAGCTGAATCCATGAACAATTTTTACAGGAAGTAAGAACTTGTAATAGAGATGCTCTTGTGAAACGGCAAAATTATTAGTTATGTCATGAGCACAAGGAGACAGTGGTTACCACAGCAAATGATTTTTGGGGGTTACAGCATTGCATTCGAATCCACAGATAATATAATTTGGGTGTTTATTGTCGCTCAGCTAAGTACTCACGCTGTATTCCAGATATATTTTCTGTATCGAACTGTCACACACATTTAGGTCTGCTATGGTTCACACATCCTAGCTTTTAAAAATGGAACTTGCACTACATTTCAAAGTACCACAGAGGTGACCGATTTCCAGCTCCTGTCAAGCGCAATTATGGTGCGTCTAGATAAGGGTCGCTTTTACGAAGGCAGTCGCCTATCAAGGAGGTTGGTTTGGGGGCGGAAAGCCATTGCGCTTACTTGTTTACGTTTTGTATGTGTATGTATGCGCGCACGCATGCAGAGAAACGCACCAGCATTCTGGAAGGTACGTAGAACTGCCCGTCCACCCGGAAAAAAATTCGGTTCGCCTATTCACAATGGCGCATGTTCTTTCGGATCGTAATGGCTAGCCTACGTAAAAGCCATTCTTCTTAGCCCAAACGACAGGTCTTGTGCGCTTTGGCTCTTTTTAATTCCCAGTGCTAGTAGCATCTGTTTCGATCGAGTGAACCAGCAAAAAAACGACTGGTTAATGTTTTCATCCATGCAGGTACTGCGGGCAGATACGGCCTAAGACTATCATGTCCACTACCAACAGGGTTGAGCTGAAGTTTGTCACCGACTGCTGCGAAGAAGGACGAGGATTCAAACTGCGCTATGACATTATCCCGTCTTGTAAGTACCCCACGAGGAAAGTTTATGTGATGTAAAAAGATTTACTTTAGACGGCTGCTATCATGTACCTTTCATCAACTTCATTCATAGTCGAGGTAAAGTATTATCGAAGCTTCTGCCTTAGTCTATTGACAGTTTCCTGAGAGTGTGAACTACATTGCAATAATAAGAAATGTAGCGTGGTTTTGAACAATCAAGCAATGTTGTGGTTACAGCACCGGCTCTGTAGGGTAGTGGACAACTATGCGATAACGTAACCAGTGAAGAATAAACAGGTTATCTAAGGAAAAGGGTAGAGCGTGAATATTTTCGAAGCTGATGATATCTGGGTTTTAACGTTCCGAAAACGCCATATGATGATGAAAGATGCGATAGCGGAGGGCTCCAGAAATTTTGACCGCTTGTTCAAACGTGCACCCAAATCTGAGCACACGGGCTTACAGTATTTTTGCCTCCATCGAAAATGCGGCCGCCGAAGCCGGCATTCAATCCCGTGACCTGCGGGTCAGCAGCCGAGTACCTTAGCCACTAGACCACCGCGGTGGGGCTATTTTCGAAGTTGTTCATTCCAAAGTTAAGAAAAAAGTCAAGAAGAATGCCGTATTGCCCGTACGATCGCAGTTGTCAATGTCAAAATAGCTAGGTAGGTGCTAGTTCTACCACCAAGACCCTAGTGCAAATGGAAGTTCTAAAAGACAAACCAAATATATCAACATCTGCCGTTTTCTGAAAGCAAAAGTAAATTCTCATGAATATTACACGTCGGGTAAATGTAAAAGCTTTTACTTATTATGTATAGCTGAATTGGTAAGTTTGCGTGAAAATTAGAGTGCTTAAATAAAAATCAGTAAACCTGAATTTTTGGCCTTCTGAGAGGCTGCGTTTAGAGCACTTACAAAGATTGCTTTTCTGAGCTGCCGTGGTATTAAAGCGATCGTAATAATTCACTGCTGACCCACCGTATGCGGCATCAAATCCCAGCTATGGCAGTCTCATTTTGATAGAGTCGATATCCGAGATGCCCGTGTACCTAATTCAGATGCACGTTAAATGAAACAAGGATATAAAAACTTTTGAATCTCTTCACTACGACGTTCCTCATCATCATATCGTGGTTTTGGGACGTAAGAGCATCATGCATTATTAGGTTAGATTTGCTCTTTTGTTCGAACTAACGAGAGTGGCGATTGTATATTATTCATTAAAAAAAACGCGTGCCCCATAATTTACAAGGGAAGAGTTCATATGTTTAGCGTGGTGTTTTCATACATGCCGACCACCATCCTTTCCGAGTGCTGACGCAGCTAACATCCGCCTAATTTTGTTCTCGTCACGTGCATTTCGCTTGCCTGCCGATTATGATGGCAAGCTGGGCTAGTTTATATGAATTCATGCGTAGAAATGTTCAGCGCTTACAAAGGAACGACAGAAGATGAAATAATTGCACAATACTTGTGGTTATGCTCAACTGAATTTTTACTCAGCGACACACACAAAATAAACTGGAAATATCGTGGAACGATATGTGAGAGGTGCTCCTAACTAAAAGAGGCCTTCCGGCTTTTGCCCCCTGGGTAGGGTTAACATGCGTACGGCGTCTTTTATTGTGATAACAATAATATCGACACTCTCGGCTGGGAGGAGAAGACGAAGAAGTGTGTTTTGAATAGGAGCTACTTCTGCTAACTCCAGCGTATTTCAGTTGTAATTTAAGTCTGTTGATCAGTTTCCGCTGCTCCCTTGGAGGGGATGGAAGTAGACCACCCCGGGCGCCTGCCGGCACCAGCGGCGTCAGCGGCGACCGCCTCCAGGAAGCGGATGGGACAAGCGAGCGACAGCGACAGTGAAGATACTCATGCTTACTATCTCAGCAGTGAGGACTTCTCAGATGACGGTTTCCAACCTGTGCTGAGCCGCAAGGGGAAAAGAAGGAACATGAGGACATCCTCATCCTCAACTATTCAAACTGTAAGTGAAGCGCCAAAATCGAACACTTATACCATCCTGTTTCTGCCTGCACTTCCTACCGTCAGCATGAAACGCCTTAACAGACAGTCTGTGTCGAGGTCTCTGGAAACGCTCGTGCCAAATGAGATCACGGACATAAGAGTGAACGCCAGAAAGAATATACTGGCTGTGGACGTTTTGCACGCAAGTGCGTTGGGCGTTCTGCGCAGTGTAACTGACTTGGACGGCAACCAGGTGCGCTCTCATGTTCCCTTGGGATGTGATGTAGTAACCGGCGTGATCTACGACATTGATGTCGCTATTTCCGATAAGGACTTACAACTTCTTGTCAAGTCAACAACTGATGCTCCATTTGTTGATGTCACCCGGCTAGGCAAGTCTCGCTGTGTGAAGATTGCGTTTAAGAGCACATCACTCCCCTCTCATGTGAAGGTGGGGTACTTCAGACATGCTGTGCGGTCTTTCATTCCGAAGCCTCTCCAGTGCCGTAAATGCATGAAACTTGGACATGTGAGCAGCGTCTGCGAGAATTCGGTGGTATGCCACCGCTGCGCCGAGCACCATGAAGCGGATAAGTGCGTCGCAACTGTCAAGAAATGCTCTAATTGCAATGGATCTCATGAGGCCACATCGAAGGACTGCCCACGGATTCAGAAGGAAATTGCCATCTTGAAGGAGATGGTGCGCGATCACTCATCTCATCGAGAAGCCGCAGCTAAAGTCAGAAGGCGTCGTTCACGTCGACGTCGGTCTTCGAGGATGTCCGCTACTTCCTCGACACGTTTGCGTGATCCCTCATCAGTACCACCTCCTTTGCCTCCCAGACCACATGCCGTGGGAAAGGCTGTAAAGGACAAAGCCAGTGAGCATACCCTAACTGCGACAGAGTGGCCTGCACTTCAAAGGGAAGCAGCATCAAGCGAACCGAAGGAGCTTCATGACGGCCAGTCCGCGCTCCCGGTTCGAGATCTTTCCAACCAAGACAGGCAAGTGACTGCAATCGTCCCGGTTCGAGATCTTTTCAACCAAGACAGGCAAGTGGCTGCAATCGTGCAATCATTGATTGCCACGATTCGCAAGCTACTGAGCAGCATACGATCTGCGTCTGCTAAGAGTGCACTGCAAATACTGGATGCACTGAATCCAGTTCTTGCTAACTTCGTATAAGCACAATGGCTCAACAAAATCTCATCTTCCGCACTGAAGTTAAAAGTGCGTCGATTTTTCAGTGGAATGCCAGAGGCATGAAGTCCCGTATCTCAGACTTTCGCCAATTTGTTCGGGCCAATCAATTCCTTATACTTGTCATATGTGAACCAAACGTATCAACGCCTCATAGATTGTCCGGTTATGAAGCTTTTTGTTCAGCCGCTTGCGAAGAACGAAGCAAAGTAATTGTTTACATTCGCACAGACTTGACTTATCTTTCGCACCCAATAAGTTCAAATGACGACAATCAGTACGTGTGTCTTCGTGTGAAGAAGAATGCAGTTTCGTTCGCGCTTATTGGTGGATATATATCTCCGTCATCGCGATTTGACTGCGACAGATTAAAAGACATCCTAATGAGAACCGATGGACCTTGGATCATCACCGGTGACTTCAACGCCCATCACATGCTTTGGGGGTGCACTAGGATGAATGCCAGGGGCCGGAACATAGTTACATTCGCTTCCGATTACGACCTTTCCATCATGAACGATGGTACCCCCACATATCTGCGGGGTCTCACGTATGGCAGTTGCCTTGACCTGACATTGGTGTCACGGTGCTTCTCTCACAAAGTTAAGTGGTTTTGCGATATTGAGACTCATGGGAGTGATCACATACCCACCTACGTGACGATCGATGGTATCATAAAAAAATTCTCTTCCGAAGTTGCAATTGGCACTGACTGGTCGATGTTTGCATCGCGTGTTGAGAACGCTTGCCAATAAGGCCTCGCCTGCAGCCTGGAAAATACCATAGTGGAAGCTATGCAAGCTTCCAAATGTAAATTATCATTTTCGTCTAAAGTAACACAGTTTGACATCGAACTGGAAAAATTACGAGCTATACGAAGGCGTGCTGAACGACGATACAGACGCACAAGATCAATTTACGATCTGAGAGAAGCAAGGCGGCTCCAGAAAAAGATTCAACGACGCATTTACAAACTGGAGAGCGAACGCTGGAAAGCATTCTGCGAATTTCTAGACCCTCATAAACCGCTGTCATATATCTGGAGAACAGTTCGTGGTCTTCGCTCCTCTCCACAACAACGGCACCCTTTTAAAGCTTTGGCACTTCATCATGGAAAAACGGAACTCGAGGTGGCTGAAGAATTTTTCACGAGAGTTGCCGGGAATATTATGAACGAGAGCATCGACGCCGTGATCGTTCCTGAGACGCGATTACCAGAAATGGACATTCCGTTCACCATGGAAGAACTGGAAGGTGCGTTAGTCGCTTCTAAGCGCATGTCATCGCCAGGTCCTGATGGTATTACTATAGTGCGTTGGGACACCTTGGACAAAAAGCTAGAAAAGAACTTTTAACATGCTTCAACAACTCCTGGCTCAGCGGCAGTGTTCCCCGAGAATGGAAAATAAGTCGATTAATACCACTTTTGAAATCGGGAAAATCACCATTGGACTTGACAGCGTATCGCCCTATTGCCCTCGCAAGCTGCCTCGGAAAAGTGATGGAAAGAATGGTTCTATTTCGTCTCGAGTGGTACTTGGAACGATACACCAAATACCCTTCTTGCATGGCAGGCTTTCGTCGGGGCCGCTCCTCCATTGACTGTGTCCTTGACTTATCGACATTTGTTCAACAAGAAAAAAGTCGCAAGCGCATATCAGTGGCACTCTTTCTTGACGTGAAGGGTGCATATGATAATGTAGCTCACGATGCCATCCTCACTTCTCTCGCAGCAATGGGCATTGGTGGACGAATGTTTCAATGGATAAAAGGTTATATAACTGGCAGGGGTTTCTTTGTACAAACATATGAGGGTACAACTGCCCAACATTACACCTGCTGCGGAGTACCTCAGGGAGGTGTTTTAAGCCCCACATTGTTCAATGTGGCCCTCATTGGTCTGGTGAAGGTTCTGCCAAAGTCGGTGTGCCTATCCATATACGCCGAAGATATTTGCCTCTGGAGTGCTGCAGTTACTCGCCCTCAGGTGCGTGCACGAATACAGCGGGCAGCAACCCTCACAACAGCCTACCTTCAGAAACAAGGCCTAAATATATCAACTGTGAAGTGCGCGTTGATGGCGTTTACACGCAAACCAATGACGCCATACCCTGTTTACATCAATTGGCAGAGTGTCAAATATGCAAGGACGCATCGTTTGCTGGGCATAATAATCGACAGAAGTCTTTTATGGAGCCCACATTGTGCGTACTTGAAGAAGAGACTGCTATCTATTGTGCATATCATGAAATTCTTGTGCGGTAAAGCATGGGGAACTTCTGTGGCCTCCATGCTACAGCTGTACAGGGCCCTATTTCTGGGTCTATTGCGCTACAGCTTGCCGGTAATGACTAACCCTTGCAAATCGAATACTCATTCATTGGAGAGTTTGCAGGGTCAGGCACTGCGTATCTGCCTAGGACTGCCCCGATGCACTTCTACTTATGCCACAATCATGCTTGCCAAAGACCATCCGGTCAGGACATATATAGTTGTGGATTGCCTCAGAGCGCACATTCGACATGCTAGCCGTGTCCCCGACCACCACTTGGCCCTTCTACCTTCCGGAAGACCACGTGCTACGTTTTCAGACGTCATAGCCAAGCACCTAAACAGCATTCCATCAGGATATACGCCAGCTGCGAGAACGGCATGCCCTTTGTGGTGCCTCGACCAGCCGCAAGTACGTCTAGAAATTCCTGGAATCAAAAAGAAAAGCAGTCACTCCAGAGTAGCATTGAAGCAAGCAACACTGCTATTATTACATGAATTGTACTTAGACCGAACGCAGATATACACTGATGGGTCCGTCTCATCCAGCAGCTCATCAGGTGCCGCTGTAATTCCGGCTGCAGAAACGACAATCAAGTTTAAGTTGTCGCATATGACTACATCTACGGCATCAGAGCTTGCTGCTATAAGGGCTGCTTTACAATATCTCGTTCAAGAACGTCCAGGAAAATGGGTCATATTCTGTGATTCGAAGGCAGCGCTTCAGAGTTTGCAGTCTGCCATGCGTAGGAGGAGCCATGACCAACTGGTACAAGAAATAAGACATTGCCATCATGAAGCTCTAGCACGAGGGCATGATATTATATATCAATGGCTGCCTGCACATATCGGTATTACCGGAAATCAATTAGCCGATGATGCAGCCCGCTCAGCCCATGAAGAAACCCGTGTAGTCCCGATTCCTCTATCAAGGAATGATGTAGCAAGACAACTTTACCTGCTGGCTCGACACCTCACACGCACGTTCTGGTCGTCTACCAGCTTCCAAAGGTGTCAATTTTATGAACTGGATCCTTCGCTCAAGCTAAAGCTACCATCACAACTTTCCCGCTCCGATGCGACACTGTTATGCCGCCTTTGGTTGGGTGTTGCATTCACAAAGGTGTACTCCTTTCGCATTGGTATGGCAGACACTCCTACATGCTACTACTGCGGAGCTGAAGAGACCATCGAACACGTCCTGTGCAGCTGCGCTTGCTACGACACACAGCGATGCCAGCTCCGGATGGTTTTGAATCGACTTGACCCCGGACCATTTTGTGTGCAGAAGATACTAGGACCTTGGGCATCTGCCTCAGTTGCGCAGAAAGCAACTAAAGCACTGCTACTTTACCTTAAGGCAACAAACCTAAGCGACCGCCTGTAGACTGTGTGTGCTCCCCGAGTGTGCTCGTGATTGTGTGTACCTTCTCATCTTTCTGCAACCTCTTTTCTCCCCTTTATCCCTTCCCCAGTGCAGGATAGCAAACCGGATGTGCGTCTGGTTAACCTCCCTGCCTTTCCTTGCACCTTTATCTCTCTCTCTCTCTCTCTCGGCTGGATTTTGCCGCCAGCGTCGGCGTCGATGTCATACAGCCTATATATATACGTATCGCTATATATATAAAAACGCAACGAAAAAACGCCCAGAAAAAGATTCCGGCGCGCGGAATGGAACGTTGGAACTCCGCGTCATGAACACGAGGCGTTAACCACTGAGCCACCTAAAGGTACTTCTTTCAACGTTCAAACAGCAAGCTATTCATATCTACCACTTACCGCTGTTGGCGGGTATCTCGAGGGGGGGGGGATTGTGTTTTCAGCATTATCAGCAAGATAGCGCAGTGAGCGCGTGGCGGATCTTATCTCCCATGCATACTTTGGTCCGCGTAGAGAATAAGCGGGTGTACGCTCGATCGCGCGCCGTTATTTCGCAGTTCAGAAAATCCTATATCTTGGCTAGCCTTTGAGTTTTGTCAAAACGATTCTGTTTTAGTTACCGGGCGCACAAAGATCCCTGCAGTCAGCGCACAGCCTTCGTTTGCGAAAAGGGCGCGCTTTCCAGACATAGCAAAGTAACAACTGAGATACTTATTAGCGGTATTCTGTACCTGTGAGTACGTTTCATGCGTTCTTTGTGCATGAGAAACGCTGGGCACGTTTCGATGTACTTGCCCTTTTGCACGTGACCTTCCAATTCGTTGCTGTCGCGTTCATTGCTCCGCTTTTGCGACTAAGCTGCGACTTTTCATTTTTACCGTGCGTGCTGACAAAGCTTTGGTATTACTTATCCCATAGCTTAATCGTTGGCTGGCTCACACATCCTTTCTTATCTCTCGTAATGTAGAGTGACTTGTTAATATCTCGGGCAAGATGCTTTTTATGCCTGGAAATTTGTAGAATATGTTCTGTATGTTTTATGTCTGGAACATGTAGAAAATGTTGCCCATATTTTATGGACATGTGCCCATAAAATGTGGGGCACATGCATCATCGGCAGGGGTCAGCTATGAGGGAAGTTTTGGCTTCTGTTACTGATCTCTCATCGTCTGTATTGCCTTTATAGTGATGCACAGCTTTTGATATGTACCCTGCAAAATTGGTGCACATTGCTTCACGCCCGAATAACATAAAGCTTTTCAGCGCAAAGATTGTAAAGGTATTGATCCGCTGGTAAGGATCCGCAGGCAATGTATTTGTCTATACCATATTGCATACTATGTTATACATAATATATATTTCTTCTATGACAGACTAAAACGAAATGGCAAGGCTGTGATTATAGATGAAAAAAAAAAAGATTGCCAATTTCTAAACCGAATAGACTTGCTGAAGCTCTCGAGACTGAGGAATAGGCTCACCCAAAGAAGCGCTTATTTACGGAAAATTATTTCACTTATGTTTATCTACATAACGTAATGCTCCATTACTTTTGCGACAACGCTGTTACTACATTGTGAAAAGTACGAATCGTTCACTGCTCTCAAGCCGTTTTTGAAGTTTGAAATTTATTCACTTATCGCAACAAATATTCCATTTGGTTCAATGAGTGGCACTCAAGGCATGCGGTGCCTGAATATGTGTGGCGACAATTTTTCTTGTCGTCGCGGTTTCCTTTCCAGTTCAAGCCATATTTATTTAATAAAAAAAGTGCATCAGATTGATTGCCATAGTTGTGATTGTTGCAGTCACTTCCACTTCTCGTCTTGATTTTTACCATGTGCTTTTTGGGTAATTTTCAATGTTAAAATACACTGAAGTTCAATATAATCCGAAACACTTGTTCTATTATTTTGTCAACCCTTCTTGCCCGATAGGTGCCAACTTCACTTATTTTGCTTTACATGCTGAAAGTATTATTGTTCGCTGTGGTTTTGCGTGGATGGTCCCTTTGTTTGGTCTTTATGCATTGACGTTGTCTTTGAATTACATTTTTTCAGCGTTTTTATTTACTTTCGAAATTTCTTTTCTGTGTTAATGTTTTCTCGTATTTATGACAGATGAGTAATGTCTTTGGACTGGGCGCTTGTTTTTGTGCTGGTGGTATTTAGTGTCTCTCACAAGCGCATACGTCGCTCTTGCATGCGGATGCAAGCTTGCCGGCACGTGGGCTCAAGCTTGCGCTGTCTTTAGTTTCGTCAGTCTGCAGCGTGTGGTGCTTACCCGATAAACCTCGTTTCTCTCAGTCTATTTTTAAGACAAGAAAATATTCCCTAATTGTAAGTGTACGTACACGTGTTGAAAGAAAGAAAAACTTATTCTCAGATGTCACGTGCGAAGTCTTGCCACTGTTGCCATTTATATTTCCTATTCAACACTAATTAAAGCGGCAGCATCAACTGCGGTTTAGTGAAATGAATAAGGTGTTACCGAAATCTCAATAACCGTACTATTTTTTGGGCAAAGTAAAGGTCTCATAATTTACTGAAAAAGCCAACATCTTGCGTCAACGTCCACTCTTAATATTGACTCGCTAAATTTTTGAAGCATGTCTAAAGAGGCCTTCATGGCTGCCAATTCGATGTCACAGTAACGTTCATGAGAACTCACGGCATTTTATTGACATTTCAGGGTCCGTTACTCCGACTCGACCTACAGAGAGGTACCAGCCGGTTCCTTGCCGTAAGTGAGTGTGCTTATTCTGAATGAAAGACGACTTCAAGAAACATTTCTATAGCCAGCTATTGCAAGCATTATTAACAAGCGCCAAGTATGCTTTATTATTAATTACAAAGAATCCTCGTGTGCTTGCACCTCTAGAAGAAGTAAAAAAGCAAAAAATGAATTAGATAACACTGAGATCAAACAGCCATTTGGACTCTCCAACAGCTTTGTTCAATGTGCGCCATATTTTCACGGCAGCCGCATGGGATAGAGAAGTGCTGCTTCAAATAAAATAGTGCACTTCTCTCTTTGAACAGTCCGCCTGTCACAAGCCGTACTTACAGACACCACAATTAGTCAGCTAGGAACGACATACACTCTAAGGCAAAAGGGTGTTAAAAGGGTGTTGGTTTGTTTTTTTGGGGACTAATGGGGCTGCCATAATCATTAATCCTTTTAAAGGCTAACGGCACTGGGTCTAACAGTTAGTCCCCAGAAGGGACTAAAACTTAGTCCTCACATTTACACCTCAGTGAGTGACCGTTAGTCCCACAGTTCACCCCGAAGGACTAACATTAATTCCTCATATTTGCCCCTTATAGAGCAACTGTTAATCCCCACATTTACGCCTTACCGGGCAACCGTTAGTCCTCACAGTTGCACCTTGCCGGACGAACGGTTGATCCACTCAAATACTCGAATCGCCTGAACTTTTTGTCCCCAGTTCAAACATTGTTCTTTGTTTATTTTCCGCCAGGCCATACGCTTTTTTTGCCTGTTTTTCTGCGCAGTGACAAATTCCGCAGAAAAGAACACGAAAAAAGTAGTTGGCCACCTATGTGTAACTGCTTTCACAGTCACGGCAACAATGACAGACAAAAGTAAGACATCGAAATCTTTTATTTTTCTACATACACATGAAGTTTCCCCATTTTTTAAAGTGAATTCATGGTGAAGTGTACAAGTCCAGTCTCGTTGTCACATCTTGTGCACTTCTTGTGTAGCTCCTCCGATGGAAGCGATAGATGACAGGCACCGAAGACGCCAGCGCATGCAGCCTTCTGCCTGTTGTGTTCCCACGGCTGCACGTACAATAATATAGTAAAAATAGCTAGGCACACGTGACAGAAGATGAATATGCACGCATATGACAAGTGCGTGCACGCTGATATAAAAACAAGCGTTAAAATATGACACACAAATAACTTTACCTTCACACCTCGCACAGTACTTCTCAAGCTGCTCTGACGAAAGAGATGGATGACGGGCATCGCCGACGCCAGCGCACAGTCTTCAGCACGGTGTGTGCCCACGGCTGCACAATAAATATGTAAAATAGTGAGTCACGCGTGACAGAGGATGAATACAAATGAATATGAGAAATACGTGCAAGGTGAAATGAAAACATATGTGAGATATGACATGCTAATAATTTCACCGTGGTGTCCCACATCGTCAAAAACTCATTTCCATTCCCGTAGCGCAACAGATTAGGAGCGGCGGCCGCAGTCACAACTCCGCGAACCACCGTTCCGCTAAAGTCGGCGAGTCCTAAGCGAGTGACATCGTTCAGCTCGAGCAAGCGAACGCGAGACCAAACACGGCACTGCACGCGGAGTGTCTGCCGCCAGCGAACGTCGAACAGGAGAGCGGGCGTATGTTTGGCCGCCACCACGAACAGAACCAAGCTGGTTTGGAACTAGCGCCGAAGAAATCAACAGTAATGCGGCCCTTTTCCATAAACTCGAGCGAGTGCAGCGCGCAAACGCGAGTCCGCTGCCGCGGCCAACGGACTACGCCGAGCTGCTTGCGACCGACTGACGGGGAAGCCAACAGTATTGGCGACCAATTTGCAGTGAGTTCGGACGCTATAGCGAAAGCCACGCCAGCCCGTGCTGGTGCACTTACAGCGTCCGACATACTACAACCAAGCTCTTTACGAGAACCCGCAACGTGTTTTCGACGACTCCCAACACAGCGACGAGGTCTCAGCCCAATGTCGTCAGCCCGGAGGTCATCGCGGTGGCGAAGACAGGTGAGCACTCGGTTTAGCGAGCGTACGGGAGGCCGACGGCAATGGCGGCCAATTCCCAGGCGGTCGCAAAGCACAGGGAAACTGCAGACGCCGAAGCTGACCTTCGCGATGCATTTCGTGCGTGCGATATACAACACGACTGAGCACGTTGCCGGCAAGCGCGATCCGTATCGCACACGCGACAAGTAGAGTAGAATAAAGAATGATAACCTACTTGCCTTAGAACCCAGCGCTGTTTTCTGCCCTGAGTCAGACTGAAGTATATATCCGATAGGTCTGTTCTTGGCCGCCCTATTGGTCTTCCCAACTGTTGCTGTCGTGTGTTGGTCGTGACTATCTTGAAGCCAAAGATATACAGCGCGGCGTGGTGACCTGTCGAGGCTTGCTCCAGAGTTCATGGGTGCAGCGAAATGCTAAAGCAGCAGCCCACGCTCTTCCAGGCGTGCACACAAGCACCACGTCGTAGTTCTTAGATCGTCGAATCTAGGCGGCCGTGGTCGAGCACTCCGAGCGCGCCGCTGCGCAACCACCGCCGGCAAAATACGGGGAAAGACTGAGCTAGCAGAGAAGGAGAAGGACATGTGTTCTGTGGAGAAGGAGGGTTGGTCACCTTGGCAACGCTTTTCGCGCTGCCTGCAATGCCCGGGCGGTTCACGCGTGCGCCTATTGGGCTCCGTTACTCCTTTTCGGGTAATTGTGCCTTTGAAGGTGTAATATATATATATATATATATATATATATATATATATATATATATATATATATATATATATATATCGCTTCTTTTCTTTTTCATAAGTAATGTTTATTTCCAAGGAGTGAAATGTTGCTAAGAAGAGCTTACTTTTTTTCCACAATTTCAATATATACCAACCAGGCGGTTGTATAAATCGCTTTGTTAGGGTCATTCGAGTAGTTCAACATATTCAACATTGCTTGATTTTACAGAAGTTCTTTGCATGATAGATTTCGATGATACTAGACATTTAAATCGTAATTTAGGAAACTTTCTTTACAACGATTATAGTTAAGTGCTCTAAAGTGGCGTTCGTTTTCTGCCCGTCCATTGAGAACGCCCAGTACCAAAAAGTGTATTGGTGACTCGTGTTCATCCCACTATAGTCTGACTACGTTGCTTTCGTCAGTGACTATAGCCTACAATTATGAGTTCCATACCATTGATGACACTTTCCACACGTATATTTTCACCATGTCATAGCTAGAAAAAGTAGCAGTTGTCTGAATGTGCTCGCAGATATTTTATTCCGGATAACTTTGGAAGATGGGTCATCTCGCATTGCACCAATTTTATACATATTTAGGCCAAATCGTAATACAAAACTTTGTTCTACAAAAGAAGTGCTCTGCATACTTGATGAACAAGGCTGCATTTGAACACCCAAGAATGCGAGCAACTATTATTTTCAAGTAATTGATAGCTAAGCTACTAAGCAAGCCAGTTTTCGAAATATAGTGCTTGCTAAGAAAACGCATACACAGTATTCTACTTTGCAGACTGGTGAAAGCAAACCTGTTTTTATATGCTGAAGAAATGATGCAAATCAGATGGCGCATCGTCTCTGATCTCCATCTAGTCGCAGTGAATGCAAATTACACAGTATTTTGCGATATCTGGTAACTTGTCGAAGTATGCAAACTTCAAAATAAATTATGCTATTGCAGGCATGACCGATTGCGGCAAGCCACAGGAGCTGCTTCCCAGGATTGTTGGCGGTGAAGAGTACACCGAGTATAAACACCCTTGGCTTGTAAGTATAGGCACCAATGTGCAATGGGGGTGAATACAAGCAATACGCAATCACTCCCACGGGCCCCAGTCGCTTCTTAATTTGAAGAAGCTGTGTCTTAGTGGTAGCTTAATCGCTGAGGTATGATCATCTTGCGTTTGTCGACCATTTAATTAATCAATCAATCAATCAATCAATCAATCAACAGGTCAATCAATCAAGCAATCAATCAACTCATTCAATCAATGAATCTTGCCAACATTCTTTAAGTAAGAATGACATTGCAGGTACACATATAAAAGGAGGTTCTGAGGTTACAAACCACCGGTAGAAACTCCCGTGATAATACGCTGAAATAAATAAAGTTTGTCTATAGAAGTAAGAAAAATACTTCACGATTTGTAACCTATACAGAGTCAAGTATTTCAGCAATTAAAAATATAAAGTCATCAACCACAGAGACTTGGTTAACCAAGATATTGCATTGCAACAGTTACACATTGAGGAAAAAGTTCTGCAGATTTTGCCTGAATTCATAAATATGCATTATTTATTTTGGGAGTGACGATGGGAGTGATTGCTTTATTGATCATATAACGATTTCGTTTTTCCTATCTTTGCTATTCCGTTCGGTAGAAGGAAGTCATTATGACTGCAAACCTAGCTTCTGGAGATTAGGTAATAGGCAGGCTAGCACAAAATTGAATATGAGCATACGATGATTCATTAAAAAAACAAAACATGTTGTTAACGTGTAGAGCTGAAAGTGAATTACTTAGGAGAGAGGAGTACTAAGCCAAGAGGTGCTAACATCGTTTGACTTGTGGATGTAATTAATCGAATGGCTTCCTTTTGTAAAACTTTCACAGCAAAAAAGTGAACTGAATATGAATTAGCCTATAACATAATACAGTAACTTAGACGACTATGAATGTGTTCATAATACAGTGCTTTCAGAATGTCGACGCCGGACCACTTTCTTGATTTCTGCATGGCCCTAATTCTATATGAAATATTAAAAAAGCATAATTTATGTACATCTGAAATTTCCAAAAGTGTATTAGCAATGACTTCTACAAGTGTGGTGTAGTTACTTAAAATGACTGCAAGAGTTGATATGTATAATTCGCAGTGTTTCTTGTGTGACTAAAAAGTCATAAAACAAGTTTTAGATGAATAGGTGAATGGTTAATTAGTTATACAAATTCAATGAAAAAGGTTGAGCCAGCTTGAAAGTTAGACAGGTCAGTCGCAAAATGACATTGATAAGATAAGATAGTAAAGTCATACGCACCATCAACAAGTTTAAAGGTTAAGTCAAATGGTTCAGTAACTGATTGATGTCAGAAATAATAAAATGCTTAAAGTCGAGCATTGTGGAACACTTTGTAGAATTTGATGTGTACGTAGTGATCGAGACGGCGTGAGGCCTATTCAGACGAAATCTTTGTAACAGTTTGAGCGCAGGGCTAGTTGAATGGTACAACCCTTTACAGCCTTACCAGCCTGAATAAAACCCCTTTAGACAATTACCCGTGCGTAAGGCGCTTTGTGATGTTTGGTGTCCTTTACATCAAGCCCACGCTTTCGTCCAAACGTTCCCTCGTGCAGGCCTACGCATTAAAAAGCTCGGCACGTTTTCCCAACACTAGGTATGTCTCGTCGTGTAACCGATAGGCTATTAGCATTAGCAGTGATAATCGAAAGCAATCAATTCCGGCTGCAATGCTATGTGCTTCCTTTCTGTTGCACAAGAAATGAAGTGTAACTTGAAGTGATGGTTTTCTTTGTTAGACACAGTAATATTGAGATATAACAGAGACAATGCTACCAAAGAGTGTACAGGGAATCTTATCAGAAGAAACTGCAATATAAATGTACAGAAAGAAACGTGGACGAAGTGATAACTTGCCGTGGACAGGGACCAAACCTGCGACGTTCGAATAACGCGTCGAATGCTCTGAACGCGTTATTCGAAAGGGGCAGGTTTGAATCCTACCGGTGGCGAGTTGTTTTTTTCGTCTATTTTTTATTCGTATTCTACATTATTTACTTCCAATATCATCCCTTATACTTTCCTTGGAATCATTGTCCTCGCCTTTCGTCAACTCATAAAGCAGTCAAAGCTGTCTTGGGCTTTTTGAGGACTACAGGCCTACGTGACCACCTTTAACTTTTGTGTAGTGCCACCGCTGCATACGCGTCAGCCCATTGACTGACGATCCTCTTTTTTTACTCTCTTTCTCTTCTCTTTCCTCTCTCTTTCTTCTTTATGCCCCCTTCCCATTCCCCCAGCGTAGGGTAGCAAACCGGGCATGTGCCTGTTTAACCTCCCTGCCTTCTGTCTTGTTGTTCATCTCCCCCATTGTTTCTTGCTTTTCATTATTATTTTAGCTACATCCTTCTTTAGTAATTTATTTTTGGCTAGAAAAAAGTGTGGAGAATTCCCTAACTCAAAGATTCAGATGTTTATCACGCAAAACGAGGGGATTCAAAGTGAGGGTTCCATGTGCTTGACATTGAAGTTACTGTGTTGTAATATGGCGTTTTTGTCAGGTGGCCATCTTTGACGAATACAGCGCCTTCATCTGCGTGGGTAGTCTGGTATCACGGAGCCATGTTCTGACCGCTGCTCACTGTTGCGACGGGTAAGTGGCAGGCTCTTGTCAGCGAAAACAAATCTCCAAAATGGTCAGGCACCAGCACTTTGTGTATTGGGACTGCGCAAAGTATAGCTGTTGCTATAGTTTTGAGTTGGCAACAAAATGCCCGGCATATAACAGCAGCCGTTACTCCATCATTGCGGTTCTTGAACCATGAATGGTGACGTCCTGACGGTGCTATAATGATGACTAAGCAGAAAATAATAATAATAATAATAATAATAATAATAATAATAATAATAATAATAATAATAATAATAATAATAATAATAATAATAATAATAATAATAATAATAATAATAATTCATGTTATTATTATTATTATTATTATTATTATTATTATTATTATTATTATTATTATTATTATTATTATTATTATTATTATTATTATTATTATTATTATTATTATTATTATTATTATTATTATTATTATTATTATTATTATTATTATTATTACGTTAACACATTCAGGTTTCATGCACACATAAGAAAAATTCACCAAAAGAAAGTGGAGAACAGGAAAGTGGAAGTCACATTGTCGTCTTAATGCCCAGAGTACACACGATCGGTGATTCGAGGTCTATCATCCGTGGTTCGTTGAACTGCTGCGGCTGCTGGTGCTTGTAAAATATAGTTAAAGCTAACTTGTTGACTTCCCGCTTAGCGTATAACAATGACACTCAAGCCGCTTTTCAGATTTAGGAGCCGGGACCTTGGAACTGTATTTGCGTGACTAAGGTGCGACTCGAACCCACCACCTTGCATATGTCACATAGCCCTTTATTCACTTGCCTAATAAGGGTGAAAGTCATTATTTTATTTCTCCTCTCTGCTAAGCCCTTCCCTCGAAAGCGTCCTGCACCCAACACAGCTTTGCAGTGTCCCGAAAATAGCAGGCATTTTATGTGAATTCACATTTCTTGCGGAAGACGGCCTGCCTTTCAGCATGCGACGATCTCATTTCATGACGTCGTCATGGGACGTCACGTTATGCGTTTCCATGGTGATGGTGCATTACATTACAAATTTAACGATCTGTGGTGTGATCTCAAAATCTTTTTTTTTGCATCTCTCGTGTTGGCGTTACAGCTAACATCTACCTGAAGAGGTATTTAAGGCTTCCGCCTTCTTGAGGCGGGGCCATGTAACATGTTCTCCTGGTGGCAATAGTTCGGTGAAATGTTCTCTGTTAATTCAACTGAGAATGTATATGTGAACATGTGCCGTTAATGCAGCTGACAATGTACGTACACCCGTGAGCAAATTTATGGACCAGTGCCGTCCACGCACCTATGTCATTTGTACCATGTAGTGGCAAGGCGTCTGCTGTCGAGGGGTTTTCACTAATGAAATATATCACAGTAATGCTCTCGTTACCAATTGCGTCCAATAAATGCTCTCGACAGCAGACAGCTCACGACTAGGCTGCGTAGAAAACGATTTTGGTGCGCATTACCGTGGTTCGTGTCTTTTATGGGTGTACACAAGGGGAGTACGTTGCTTGCTGCCGTAAAGTACAAATGAAGGAAAAGGTAAATTAAACTCTATTGTCTCTCTTTCGGTTGACAAATTCACAAGGATCAGGAAGGTAAACTTTGTCTTGTATTTACGAGATATATTTTTAATTTGATAATTTTTTTCCGCCAAAACGTACATGCTACAAGGAAATCGCAGCTTTTATGACATTGCTTGAAGAGTAAATCCTGCTTGTTGGTTTATTGATGCTGTCACGGTCAACTGGCTTTCCTCTTGTTTCGGGCCTACTGCTTGACTTGTTATGGTTTTGCTATAATGTCGGCGTTATTTGCTTTATGACTCTGTTCAATCTTATCTGAATTCTTATCAGAATGTGAGAGTGGTTGCCATCTAAGTGGCGGCATTGTCGCGAGCACGTCCTGGGTTAATACTCGTATCTGTTCTCGAAATATCTCGTTTCAGTCAAAAGGGCCTCAGCGTCAAGACGGGAGTCCATCGTCTCACCGATGGTCCACTTCAGGCGGTCCAGCGCTGTCACATGCACCCACACTACAGGAAGCGCAACCTCGTCAATGACATCGCCCTTATAGAGCTCACAGTGAGCGTGAACTACAATGAGTTCCAGAGGCCCATATGCCTTCCCCTCGGCGCCAAAGACATGGTGGGAAAGGATGGAATCATAGCCGGATGGGGCCGGGAGTCTTACGGTGAGAACCCACTCAAGGACTTCATAACACGTGTAAACCAGAATCTCTTGAGCTCTCTCAATTTTCGCTGCTCGAGTGGGTATTGAACCATTGCGGCACAGATGTATGACATGGTGGGAAAGCATGGAATCATAGCCGGATGGGGCCGGGAGTCTTACGGTGAGAACCCACTCAAGGACTTCATAACACGTGTAAACCAGAATATCTTGAGCTCTCTCAATTTTCGCTGCTCGAGTGGGTCTTGAACCATTGCGGCACAGATGTATTTCACCTTGATGCGTTTCAGTGTTGCTATTTAGCACAGAAACTTTGTTTATTTAGTTGCAATTTAACTTCTGTGCCATATCAAGAGCCTCGGAAAGAACAAGAGACGCACCGAAAGTCATTACATCAAGTGCAATGCCGTGTAAGTGTAATTACATCAAGTGTAACTTTGCCGACGTGAACGTGGCGCCAGCCGCTATCTTTTGTGGTGCAATGAACTTAGGTATTGCATATTGTATTTAGGTTGGGCTTAAAAGTAGCAACTACCTTAGGTTGCATGTAACTGTAAGTGTAAGCAAAATTGTATGTTTAAAAAAAGAAAACTGTTCTTTATGATTAGTGTACACGTTGATGATTTTCTATGGCAATTTCATAAAGAAACGCGCCCACTAATGCTGGGATTGTTATACACGAGACCCCCTGTTCAATCTGTTACCCGTACGTAAGCTTGTGGAGGGTTCTGAGTTAGCAGGAGCGATGTTTCAACGCAGCCTCTCCCCCTCCTTCTATTCTATCGACGGAGTTTTAAAAATAAGTGGACCATAGCTATGGATGCAAAGCCGATAAAGCCATGAAGTCTTGTTCTCAAAGTCCTGCTTCAGTCTTCAGTCTTCCGGCAATTAGGCCGGGGAATAAGCAGTTCTTGTAGTACAACGTCTGTCATCTCAGACACTGTCGTTTTCGAAAAAGCAAGCATGGTAATAACACCGCACTTTGAACAATCGCGAGAAAGTTGCTACCCAATACATTACGGGGCATATATGGCACCCACCTAGATGAATACACTCTTTGCGCCTGCCCATGCATGAAATACGACCTTTCTGAATTTATCTTATTCAATTATCTATTGCGAGGTTCATTATATTAGGAAAAAATACGGACGTAGTTTACCGCGGTGGAGCAGGGGTTATGGTGCCCGGCTGCTGACCCGATGGCCACTGGTTCGATAAAGTTTACAGTGGCTGTATTTTGATGGAGGCGAAATTCTAGAGGCCTGCATACTGTGCTATGTCACAGCACGTTTAAGATCACCAGAACATCGCGAATTCTCGAGCTCTCCACTAAGACGTCTCTCGTAATCACGTCGTATAGTTCTGGGACTTAAAACCTCAGATAATATTAAAATGGTGCACAAAAACTGTCCTCACAGTTCAATCACGAAAATTGAAGATCTTTTGAATTGACCGTGGTGTCATAATCGGTGTAAGTCCAATGGTAATCTCCCTCATACATTTCCCACGGAAATCAGAAAACAATACGCATTATGCAAAATCCTACTATTTAAAGTGGTTAGAAAAAAGAGGAAAATATGCTACTCAATCAGCGACACACTGTTATTGCACAACACTGTCTGTTGTATCTGGTCAGTTTTAGTTCTACGTTCTTCATTTTGCGACTAAAATATCAGCTCGTAGCGATATGTTAGCCCCAGAACCGACGCTGCTGTTTCCTCAGCGGCTTTGCAACGTGACGATCCTGGCTTTTTTGAGAAAACTTTGGTTACTCTACTGAAGATTAAGCATGTAATTTAGATATATCGGTCCCTATTCACTTGTGCGATTGCAATTTCAAATCTTGGGGGAAGTTGGGAGTGTGTTAAACACGTGAAAATGCCTTATTTGAAAGGGAATCGGTCCAAGATTTTAAAAAATCAGCATATCCACGGAGTGAATGATGATAAGTGGGGCGAAGCATTCGTCAACCCGCCCGTGCTTCTGTCCGTCCGTTCGTTCTTGCTTTTATCCGTCTGCACGACCATCCGTGCGTCCATCCATGCGTCCCTCTGTCTGTCCTTGCGTCCGTCCGTTAGTCTGTTCGTGAGCCTCTCCATCAATCTGTCTGTTTGTGCGTCCCTCCGTCCGTTCGTTCGCACGTCTAGCCATCCGTCCATCCGTCTGCTAGTCTGTCTGTCCGTTCATCCGTGCGATCATCTAGTCAACACTTCGAGTACCGCCTTCTCCCATCTCTCATCCCCTGTAGCACATGCCCCCTCTAGAGCGAGTATGTGCCACCGGTGGTTACGTATTACTTCATACATACAAGGTATGGACAGACCCACGCTTTAGGGAGCTTCACCGCTAAAAAACGTATTAGTCCAAGTAACGTAATATGCAGGATCTTATCAACGAAATTACATTGCCTAGAGTGAAACCTGTGACAATGATGCACCCGATGAAAATTGTGAATAGCAGCAATGAGGCCTGTAGTTTCTGAACTATATCTTTACTAACCTAGGCGGTCGAGACAGACAGACGCCCAAAGAAGCCAACGTTCCATTCGTCGCCCAGTCCGAGTGCACGACGAAATACGGTGCCATCATTCTCGAGTCGAACATCTGTGCCGGTGGTGACGTTGAAGACGCCTGCCAGGTAAGCCTCCGTCATGATCTTTGTGCACTTTCTCCGTGCTATAGAATACATGTGAACTACTGCTTTGTCTAACTAAAGCATAAATGTGTTATTGCCTTATTATTTATTACTAAGATACAAGAAAATGTAGTAATTTCTCTCAAACAAGCGTTCTCTCTCTTTACAAGCACATCGCGATCCTAGCCACTTTGCAAACGAACAGATCTATCGAGGTTCACTCTGAATTAGCCTTAAAGTGGAAACCAACACATTTTAAGAATTGTTGGTCTTTAATGTCCCAGAACCACCATGCAATTATGAGAGACGCCGAAGTGGAGGGCTCCAGAAATTTTGACCACCTGGCGTTCTTTAACGTGCACCTAAATTTAGAACACGAGCTTGCAGTATTTTCGCCTACATCGAAAATGCAGCTGCCGCAGCCGGGATTCGATTCCACTACCCGCGGGTCAGCAGCTGAGTACCTTAACACCGTATTCACAAACGCTCCTCGACTCGACTTTCACCCTTCACTTGACAAAGTTGAGCACTGCGCCGCTGCTCGGCTGAAAATGACGCTGCGCTGCTCGAGAATCGCACCACATTATCGCTGATATGCAGTGACTTGCCTGGCCTAGTGAGGGCGCTTACATCGGCCTTCTCAAGTGAAGGTGAAGCGTTGAGTGAAGGGACGCTCTACAATACGGGGGTAGTCACTAGACCACTGCAGCGGGGCCACCCGAAATGAAAAGTGCGTTTGATAGGCGGTTCCGATTGAGCAATACGTACCGAGCTTAGTGTCCACACATGCGTAGCATAATCAAAGTCTACGTCATTAGAGTCAATATTTACTGCAAGAGCTCGACCAAGTACGGCCCTAGGTGCTCACCTGCTTGACCTAAACCTTAGACCTCGGGCATCCCTCGAGCACTTCTTAGCATTATGCCCTAGCTTACCACAGCGGTAGCATGGTGCCCTCAAGCCACCACAAGCATTGCAGCTATGCTTGCTGCTGCCACACCAGCTGCATTCCGACACCACCTGGTTTCCCGTTCTCTGTCACGCATCAACCTTAAGCCCTAGCTGTTAGCTCTAAGCTTATTTTCTCCGCCGCTTTTCCCGCCGGTTCAGCTACGAGTGCCATGGTTTTTGCTTCCTGCAGTGTTAAATTTTCTTTGGCCAGCAAAGACTTCTGCGACACCCTGGACCGTACACCGTATGCGATATGGTCTCGAAGCATTTGGTCTAGCATTGAGCCAAAAAACATTTATCGACAGTGTGTCGTAGTTCCAGAATGAATTCACTAACAGGCTCACCTTCCTTTTGAGCGCGGTTGAAAAACTGGAAACTTTCCGTAGTTTCGTGGCGCTTTGAGTCGAAGTAATCATCCAGTGTTTTAACTGCTTATTCATACGTGAGTGAGTTGGGTTTCCTTGGCGCCATCCTTCATGCGAGCACTTGAACGACTCTTGTGTTCAGCGCCACGATAAGCAATGCACTCTTCTTCGCCTGGTTGCTGATACTCATCGCTACGAAGTAACCCTCTGCTTTCATGATGTAGGCTTTCCAGTTGTCCCTTTCGTCATCGTACTCTGTTGGCTGTTGAGGCACTAATGAAACAATTCTTTCCGCAGCCGCTGCTCGGTCTCCGTTGTCTGGGTCGTTCTTGACTCCAAGGATTTTTTTCCGCTTTCGTTGCCACTGTTACGTAGTAGGCTATCACGCAAAGTATGCTCCCATCCCCGAATGAGACGAGTCAAATGCGAGCAAAGAATGGGAGGTTTCTTGATCGTACAATCAGGCTTTCATAGCCAGGAGGAGAGAGGAGGAAGCGAGCACTGCTTGTGCCCACGTGCGACTTCCTCTGTCGTGATAAGCGGCGATGGCAGTCAGATAGGTTCCGTGGCTACAGAAAGTGAACTTAATTAAAAATAAGCCCTATGTGCGCATGTCTACAGCTTCACCTTGAGTGAATTTGAAAACTTCAGCCACGAAGCGTGGTTGCTATTTCTCACCAAAGTGGAAGCTCATATCAAGAATATACAAAATGAAACGAAGAAAACTGCCCCAATCAGAAAAATTACTCACTTAATTTTTTGTTGTTAGGCGAAAATTGGGAATTCAACACCAGGCACGTCCCAGGGAGAATTTCGTCTACCTGATAATTTCTGAATGCAGCAAATTTGAAAACACGTGCTATTGTCAAAATATTTTGTCCCCATTGAAGTGCGATAATATTATGGATTTTAAATCAAAATGACTTACTAGTACAAAGAAAATACGAGTCCCAGGTAATACAAATCTCTTAACCCGACAATTCTTCGCAACAAAAGCCCAAAGAGGCATTATTAAAGATCAGGAAATACCTAGACCTTGAAATTGGATTGCCTGAACTGGGTGGCTTCAGGGCTTGCTTTTCACAGCTGGATGGCTGCCAGTGATTGAGCATTTGAGCCCTAGGTGGGCAGCACTGTCTGCAAAGGTCCCGAAAGCAAGTATGTGCTCTAAATCTATAGGTGATGGATCCTCCGGACATTGCCAGACTTTGCGGTCAACTGTGTTTCGGTATTCAGTTATCACACAACCAGAATTCTCGGGAGACCAGCCCCGCATAACCGAGAGCTATGATTTTGTGGTTAGTGGCACCTCGTAAGTCAGGAGTTGCATCCGGAAGAGAGCGCCTTCGAGACTTGTCATTGTTGAACAACTTCCTTCGATTGCACAGGCTCGTGTTGACACGTAGTAAATCATAATTCATCGTCTAATCTATCCAGGCCCGAAGCCATCGCTTGCAGCCACGCCGAAACCTCGCCAGATAGTGTGTGCACGGCTTCTGTTCGTGTATTAGACGAGTGATCCGGAATAATTATAAAAACAATGTCTCCCGAAAGCTTAGTTCAAGTTTTCTCCTAAGTACGGATTGTAGTGTCACACACTCGGCCCGCAAATTGTTTATATGTACACTGTGAGTGCCCTGAGAAAGGTATCAGCCTAAAAAGTTTCTACGGCGTAGCCGTAATCATTGTATACAAGTGCTGTTTAAGTACTTTAAAAGCTGCCGTATTGGTATTCCTGTATCTCAATTGGCTACATCTACAGAATTGTTTCCCATGGGGTGCTTTAGTTCGGAGAAGTAGTGTCCGTGTGCAGGCGTCCCTCCTACCTACATGAAATATAAGGCACATGTTCTTTGGCTGTGGCCTGGCGTTAAACAGCATCACATATTTCTGGGAATGCTGTCTTGTTATATTCGTAGACTCACCATTGATGTAGTACAAGTCTATGAGCTCTTTCCAGCTTTTCTAGTAGATTGTAACTCCAGCCCTCGTAAAGTGACCTAAGTTTCTGCGGATAGATGTGCATATTGTACCGCTCGTGTTACAAAGAAGTTTTTTCGAATTACTTCCGAAAGAGGCCGCCTACCGTTTTCCGAGAGCGGCCACAGACATATGACTGCAATTTGGTCTTGTTGGTTTGTTTTTAGAAAATGTCACTGCATGCGTTAATACAGTGACGCATGCTATTGGCAAAGCAACAAGCCTAAATGTTTTCATTCATACAGTGACGCAGAAACAAATATACCTTGCATAAAAAGAAAAAGTCACAGCTTTGGCGGAAAGGCGAAGCAATGAACGCGACAGCAACAAATTTCAAGGTCACATGCAGAATGGCAAGTAGATCAAAACGTGCCCCATGTTTCTCACGCAGAAGTGGCACACGAAACGTACTCACAGGTAGGGATACACGCTTATTCTGAACGTCATCAGAATAAGCTTGTCAGTTGTTACTTCGCTGTGTCTGGATAGCGTGCGCTTTTCGCAAAGGAGACTGCGATGATTGCAGTGACCTTTGCGTGCCGCGTAACTACAGTAGAATTCTTCCAGGTAAAGCCCGAAGCCAGCCAAGACGTACGATCCTCCCGTACTCTCCACCGCTGGATGAGGGCGCGCAAGCATAGATTTAAGGGCGCGCAAGGATCCGTCGCGCCCCTTTTCTAAGCGTTGCTTTGTACGCGGGGGAGATTAGAGCGCGCACCGCCGTGCGATGTGGCGGCGCTCGCTCATTGCACCATCTTGCTGGAAATGCTGATAACACCATTCCCCCCCCCCCAGATGCCCGTTAGCAGCGGTGTGTGGTATAAATAAGTAGCTTGTTGTTTGAGCGGTGAAGCACGTGCGCCCCGCCCCGGTGGCTTAGGGGTTAACACCTCGTTTCAAGACGCAACGGTCCCACGTTCAACTCTACGCGCCGAAGTCTTTTTTTTCTATTTTTTTCTTTCTTGCATTTTCACATATATAAATACGTATACACATACTGTGCTGAAAATCGATTCCAACGCCGGCGGCAAAATCTAGCCGAGAGTGTCCATATTATTGCTATCGCAATAAAAAAAGCTTTGGATGGCTGACCTTTCAAATAGCATCTTGCTGGTCGAGTTGGTTCTACATCATCGCAAGAAGCAACGCGAAAAACGGAGACAATGAGAAATTGCAGGATCACAGTGCTGTGTATGGCTGGCACATCTCTTGTCTCCATTTTTCGCTCTGCTTTCAACGAAGTTGAAGGATTTTATGAGAACGAGAATAATTCGTGGACAAGCAAATACTTCCGTGCTTTGGCAGCTTTGAAATAGGTACACAATGGCAAGGACAACAATGGGACTGATAACCATGGCTTTTTCACACTTGAAGAACTATTAAGCTGCCAGGACTGTAGATAGGTTCTTGCTTAGACATCAAGGGTATTATTCAGTTTCAGAATAGCGTACGCTAAGTTAGTAGTAGTTGCGGTCTCCCACGATTTCCTTCAATTAACTGACGCGCGAAACAGATTAGCACACGGCGCTTGCGCTGTGGTGATTGACGTTAATTGGAAGCCTTGCATAGGCTATTTTAGAGCTCTCTACCATATAATACGAGTTTTATGTACGCTTCTCCTTTCCATTCTTTTTTGTCATCTTCGGGCCTAATAGGGTCTTCTCGGGAGTGCTTCAAAAGATATTTTTGAATATTTTTGTGCTTATGCTGAATTGGCTGTGTGATTGAAATCGTGTTATGACGTTGACGCTAATTGCAGGGTGACAGCGGAGGCCCGCTTATGTCCCCTGTGCACGTTCCGAGCCGGGTGGTCCAGATGGGCATTGTCTCGACGGGAATCGGATGTGGTCGCAAGGGACACCCCGGCATCTACACCAGAGTCACTTCATACCATGACTTTGTCTACAACATAACTCGCCAGCAGTGGTGCACGGTCTAGACGCGGCGTTGATGAACATTGTGGGGGCGCCCAAATACCAGTCACAAATCGTGGTGCGGAAGGAAGACGCTGCACTTACCACTGCTCACCTCATGACGCTTTTGAAAGCACAGACAGTGAAACCAGAAAGCTGTCTTTCCAGAAAAAGTAGGCGCTCAAGGAATGCCACGCATACTCTCATCGCAATAAATCTATCATGGCCAGTGACCACTGCATTCTGATGAACATCTCTGCTGGTTGAGATGGCGCATGGCTCCTTAAGTAGCTTCATCATAAGTAAATGTACTTGTTTTTCTGGGTAAAAGCGGAAAACCTGTACCCCAGAAGATACAGTAAGCCTCCAGATATAGATAAGGTGTCTGACGCACAATAAGCAAAATGCCGCTGGTCATTCTATGAGAAGAATAATTGGAGTGAAAAGCAGCTTTGTAAAGTGTTTTAGGCACATTCTAAATAATAATAATAATAATAATAATAATAATAATAATAATAATAATAATAATAATAATAATAATAATAATAATAATAATAATAATAATAATAATTGTCATCTCCAGTACCCCTCAGGTAACGGCCCTGTGTGGCCAAAGCCAGACGGTGGCTTGGATGACTTGGCCCGGCATATTGGCAAACGAGAGATAAAATACATGTAGAAGAGCTTGTAACGTAAAATAATCGAGAAAAGAAGACATACAACTTTTTTACAATGCATTTAAACACAATAAAATACAAGACCTAAACCATAGCGGAAGCAATACTACCTAAACATCATAATGTTACGATAACTACTGAGCAACTTTCAACAGAATATACCCGCAATGAAAGAAGCCAAAAAAATAGTCATGCGATGAATGGTGTGCTGTAATAAAGGGATTTTAGGACATTTTTTGGACTGCGTTTCATCATTGTAGAAAAAAAAAAGCACTGCCAGGCATGTCTTGAAAAACCGAAGGAACCTTTCTGATAGCTTTGCCATATCATGTTCTGATGCATGGTACAAGAAAGAGGAATGTTTAGCTTAATATACGGGCAGCGATGCGTTTTTATTGAACTCGAAGTTCCAGAAATACCGTTATACAATAGTTTGAATAAATGACTCTTCGAAAGACCGCAAGAAAAATAAAGAAGTTAAATTTGGATTGAGTGTTGAATTACGATTGTGTACAGTACATTTCGACATGCTTTTCGAGTTATTATGAAACCCTACGGTGTCATAGCGAAGAATGGAAGGCATATAATGTGATGCCATATTGCAGGATAGTGTACGCAAGAGTAAGCATGATTGTAACTTTATTTTCGGCGGGTGTAACTGATCTAACATTGAAATGTAACCGTGAGATTCAGAAAACGTTTCATTGTAACAGACGTGTTTGGTAAACAGAACAGTGTCGTCTGCAAACTGAAATACAATACATTTTGGAGCAGCAGAAGTGAAATTATTTGTGAATAAATAAATAATAGAGGATAATAGAATGGATTCGTGTGGTACGCCAGCTTTCAAGGTAAGCCTATTGCTGAAAGGCAGCTGATTGTCTAACCGAAGTACCTGGAGAGGACCAGAAAGATGATTTCTCAGAAAGTCGTTTAATGGACCTCTGAGCATGGAAGGTACATTTCTTCAAGCGGGATAGAATGGTTTACGGCCTTGAAGATACCAAGATATAAAGCAAAGGCAAGCATGTTATGTTGCAAAGCATCATGTACTTAATCAGACAACTCTAAGGAGATCAATAGTGCCTCGACCTGAGACAAAATTTAACTGACGATTTGAAATAAGCGAAAATTTATCTATAATTTATGTCAGGCATAGGAACAAAGATTCCTCAATTATTTTGGATAAGATAGGTAAAGCTGATATAGGTCGATAACTATCAACAGTATCCTTTGTGGACTGTTGTGTCTCAAATCTGCCACATGAATATGCGATACACTTGGGGGGGGGGGGGGGGGGGCTCCCGGAGTTTTCACTACCTGGCGTTCTTTAACGTGCATCCAAATCTGAGAACACGGGCCCACAGCATTTTCGCCTCCATTTAATTTTGGTCCATCTTTATAAAGCGGCTTTACAATTGATGTTTTTAAAAGTGATGACACAGAAGTCTCTAAAAATCAATTATGCGTAAAAAACAAAATATATGATCATAAATCCAGATTCTCCTGTCGTAAAAATGCAAAGATACCATCAATACCTGCTCATTTTTGCCATTTGAAACGGTAAACTATTCTATCGAGTTTGCCTTTTGTTAAAGCTGGGAGGAAGGTGGAAGCAAGTATTCATTTATTTATATTAGATTGGCCTGTCGGCGCCGACGATAACCCACAAGACGAATTTTGAAAGTGGCGAATAAATATGACATCTATATGTGCAGAATCATGAGTATACGAATCAGTAGGTTTAGCATGGCTACTTTCATACGCTCGAAGGTGGTTTATCAGTCATGACACATCCGCAGCAGATTTGTGACAGATAACTGAGACTGATGGTGGAAGTATCGTCATTGTGCCGATCGGATGAGAGCACCCTCGCTATTTCTTGTCATTCTGTAGTTGATACAGAACTCTTCATCACCAAGCGAGCATTTAAACCATTACCAAAGCAAATCTCTGCCGCCGATTGCTCCCAAATTATCTGAGCACAGCCAGTCTCTGGTTAACCGCAGTAATACGAGTATACAAGAATGTTGAAGAGTACGTATTTTCGAGCAAAACCTATCATATACACAAGGAGAACAAGAAATATAGAACAAGACCAGTCGAACTTCTTAATGAATGAGTCATATTTGCAATAATAAATAACTGACACATGCTTTTATTTACGGGAAATGTCGATAATAATAATAATAATAATAATAATAATAATATGATAATAATAAAGACAAGAAGAGTAAGATAATGAAAAGAAAAAGACGAATTTTGGTGGTTTATTTTTTGAAAACTACAACAGCTTATTGACCAAGTTTTGCGATCTACTTTTGTGAATTCGTTGTCATTGGGAGCATTCAGCTCTTTTTTCTTCTTTTTTTACCTCTAATCGTAGTGTATATTATGTTGTCCACGCATTATGTAGGATCCTATCGGGGACCCTTAATTTACGAATGAATAAATAAATGATTATGAGAGACACGGTAGTTCGGGGCTTCAAGAATTTTGACACCCTGGTGTTCTTAAAGATGCACTGATATCGCACAACACATTACACGGGTCTTTTTAATTTCGGCTTCCGCCGCCGGGATAACCCAACAGCATAACCGCTGCTCCACGATGGCAGACTCGGGTATTATTTTGATATTTCGGCTGCAGAAATTTACAATGAGTACAGCACTTAGGTATTCATTGGGAGCACCTCGCCTCCTGGATTATCGAGAATAAAACAGGGTGGCTATGAAAGAAGCGGTTAAATAAACTTTGAAGTTGCTGATGTGGGCTGCACGCGTTATAGGGCGTCGCCACAGGTGCATGGGCATGAGGGCACAAGACGTCGTTTCGGCGCCATGCAACAGGCTGTACCTTCTTTTTTCGTTGTTGCCGCGAAGCTCCTATCTGTAATTCAATTCTAGGGATGAGCGGTCATGATGAACGCCGTAAAATAACGACTAATAAGCAACGATTCTGACAGCATTCAGAGCTTATGTCATGTTTTCCCTGCCAATAATCTTTTTACTGCGGAGATTTCAAGGTATTTATTTGGCCAGTTTACGTCACGAGAAAGCTCTAACACCTCTTAGCAATGAAAAAATCGCAGGTCACTTTCTGATTTCCACAGTGTGCTTGGTGAAAGCCAGCGATCATTCGAATTTACGGTGCGTTTTTAATGTGATATCGTCAAAGAGGTCGTTTCGCAGAAATGCCGGTGTCGGCATGGGCACCCTTGCTTGTGAGAGAAAAATAATCTTCCTCATGATCTAAAATCAAGAAAGAGGCAAATAAAATAAACAACAAAAACTTCTTGTCTGAGTGAGGATCAAACCCAGAAAACGTACGAGAAAGCAGGTGTTCTGCCACGACGCTACTCATCTGCTTGGAAACATACTTGAAATAAGTGTCTCCACTTGAAGATGCATGTGAAGATGCTGTATGCATGCACGGTTTAACAAAACACGCGTCCTGCATACACGCTTCACAATAAAACATGTGATATTTCCGTAATACGGCATGTATACAAGCGTACATTTTCATCGGGCGTTAGAACATGCGACAATCATAACGACTTCGTTCTGTTTTAAAGCCGGCCATCTATTTCAAAAGGCACACATGTTACTGCGTGTGTCCCCTTAAGAACACGCAGTGGGCGCATAGCAAGTTCCAAGACATTTCACGTGCACAACTGCTCCCTATTTCAGGCATCCTAACCATCACACAGAATGCAGCCATATGTGAGAGGTTCACTGACAAAAGCCGTTTTCAACTTTATCTGTTGCATCACAGTAATCGAAAACTTTAACTTCTCTGGTACCATTATACTATTAAAAATGTGCGTTAAGTGGCAGCATGGTGGTGTTACACAGCGGTGGCTACATAGTGGTGGCTACATAGTGAGAGCGTCTACTTTCAATGCGGAAGGTAATGAACTGCCAGTGCCGACTGGGAACCCACCAGTTTTTCCCAATTAATAAAGGAGTACACCGATGTGGCGCTCGGTTGTTTCTGCTGAGCGAGTGAGGGTAGAAGTCATAGCAGGACCCGCTCCATGGCGAGGATGGACGAACGCGAGTATAAGACAAAGGTTTTCGCTTTAAAATCTTGATTTGGTGTGGCAACGGAACCTGGGCCGACTGCGCCGCAGACAAGTTTTCTAACACAAAGCTTCACCAGTGCTTGGCGCTGCTTTGGAAAAAAAAAACACTAGGCCTATGAGGAAGACGCAGTACAGAAACAGATAAAGCTGGAAGAACAGCCTTTGCCGTGTCTAAAAGCGGTAGTGGTGGAGGCTGCTTGCCGAGTAGAGGACGTCATGCCGAGGTGATGTGCGACCGCATCGCGATGACCCTCCTCTCGCGTGGCTAGGATAGTCGTCCATCAAATAAATAAATAAAATGTTCGCTCTCTTTCTAGAACAATTTTCGGGTAACTGCTTACAACCGCACTTGCATGGTACCCACTACGTCATAGATGATCGTAATTACTGGATAGTAGGCAAGTATCCAGAACGCCACGATTTGTCGCTGTAAGGGTAAGCGTGGTACCCACTTCATTCTTGTACGGCATATATGCGACTTCATTGATTCTGTGATGGACGACAATGAAGAAATAAACCTGGGGTTTTTGTGATGAGTTGAAGCACTCAACAGCCTACTTGTCACGAAACTGGCATTGTGTGACGCCCGGACAAGAATGGGTATTTACTGATGAGCTCATGTCATAGAATAGCGATGCCTAGTAGAGTACAGCGAGGGTATGGGAAAGGACAGCGAGTGATCCAACAGTGGATAAGAATGAATGAATGAATGAATGAATGAATGAATGAATGAATGAATGAATTAACTTTCTTTGAAGTCCGGCAGTTTCACCGGGTGAGGTGGGGGAAGAGGGGATCAACTCCTGTCCCTTCCCAGTCTCCGTCGATTATTATGGTGGTGCCTCAGGTAACCCTCGAAGTCCTTGGAACCACAATCACTTATTTAACATACGGCAAAGGTCAATAGGGCCTTGTAAAGGTGAGTAGTTACAAGCAAATGAAGTAGTTAAATGAAGTAAATGACAAAGTTTAAAGAAGCAAATGACACCTAGATATACAATAGCGTTCGTATGGACAAGTAGAACAACGTGAGGAGAAAAAAAAAGCTTTGGCAGTTGTATTTTCCTAGCTATGACGGTATCGTAAAACTTATCAGTCGCGGTGACTCTCCCGGCAGTGAGACGATTTCACTTTAAGTGCGCTGAAAGGGCTTGAAGTTAAACGATTGCTTGATACTTCCACAAGGCGTTAGGTCTGAATGACGAAATGGCGGTCTTAATAGTGGAAGAGGCGACCACAGAAAGCGGCTATACTCCAAGAAAAAAAAATATTACACTGAGATATGGCAGTGTTCGCCACTGCTTCGAAAAAAAAGCATTACAAACAGTTGAAATTACAAAATGAAGAAACAAATCAATATGCGTTGGCCAGTTGGTGGCGCTTGCTTCACAACCTAAGAGACATACAATTTTTCAGCTCAGTCTCCCCGTCAGGATTAGTAGTGCTAGTGGGTTTGCCACCTCTTTTTTTGTTGTGTCACATTTGTCTTCGGCAATTTCAAGGCTTCGCGTTCGTGGTGAAACGGCTGTCTGAGTGGATGTGACAGAAGCAATTCCACAAGGTATGGAAACTCTAGACAACATTAAAAAGAAAACAAACAAGAACAAGCTTTATTTCCGTGCAACTCAGTACTCCCGCCTCGTGGTGTTCCATAGGTCGCAAGGATTCTTCGCCTTGTACATCGGGGTGCCTGGTTCGCAGTTGAAAGAGTCACGGAAGTACCAGCTGTTCCTCGCGGCAATGTCAATGCTGCATTTGAAAAAAAACGGAGTACTGCAGAAACTGGTAAAAGCTTTTTAAAGCTCCTTCACAACTTCCTCTAGCACCATCCGCGCGAACGTTTGCGAATCCACCCATCTCCCCACGCATGTCACCGAAGAGGATGACGACGAGTGGGTGGAGCTACAGGTCCCAAGACCCATAATGGCTGCGTTGAAGTCACCGACTAGTATAAAGAGTGTATGCTTGTAAATCTTTTGGAATGTATCGACACAATTATCACTGTTATGTATTGCGAACTTTTTTATTCAAATACAAACACATCATATATATGTATATATATGTATATATATATATATATATATATATATGTATATATATATATATATATATATATATATATATATATATATATATATATATATATATATATATATATATATATATATATATGCGTGTGTGTGTGTGTGTGTGTGTGTGTGTGTGCGTGTGTGCGTGCATGCGTGCGCGTGTGCGTGCGTGCGTGTGTGTGTGTGTGTGTGTGTGTAACACCGGCATTGTTAACAAAGTGAAAAGGGGTGTACTGATTCGATTACTAGCTAATGATCGCGTGCTTTTAAAGATATACATATTGCCACATGGTTTGCTTGGGTGAGATCGAAGAGTGAAAGAGGACAAAGACGATCTCTCTGAGCCGCTACTTGGCTAGTCGACTCAACGAGACCATTGTATCAAGTTTGTCGTGAGTAACGTGACAAGACTGGTGCAGTTGCTGGGTGCAACGTCTCACGATTCACCCGATCGTGAGAGTAAGCCGCCACCAACGAGGCCTACCGCCTGAGACAACAACCACTGACGCAGCGACTATCACTTCCACACAAGATCCCATGCAAGCTCCGACACCTTCCACGCCGATCTACTGCACCGTCCAGAACCCGCTCATGCCTAGCCCCTTTCACGGAGAGCAGCATGAAGATGTTCACGACTGGCTGAGTGAGTTCGAACGTGTCGCAGTGATCAATTACTGGGATGATGCCACGAAGCTCCGGAACGTGTACACTTGCCTAAAAGACGGTGCCAAGACGTGGTTTTTGAACAGGGATGATGTTCTGACATCTTGGCGCAAACTCCAGCGTCGCCTCCTGGAGACTTACAGGAGTCCCGACCGCCGCGAACGCGCGGAGCGTGCACTACAATCACGCATCCAGATGCCCAACGAGACCGACTCGATGTACGTCGAGGACATGACACGGCTTTTCAAGCGTGCGGATCCTGCTATGGCAGAAGAAAAAAGTTGCGCCACCTCATGCGTGGTGTGAAGGAACAACTTTTTGTTGGTTTGGTGCATAGTCCCCCCAAAAGTGTTGCTGAGTTCCTAACCGAAGCGGCAACAATGGTGCGAGTACTGCACTAACGGTCTGCTCTGTTTGACCGTGGAGTGAATGCTGCCTCAACTCCCGAAATTTTCGCAACCCCTGGGAGCAAGAGCCCTGCATAGATTCGCGAGTTCATCCGATCTGTTGTCCGGGAAGAAATGGAAAAGATGTACGGTACAAGGTAAATCAATGTTGGTTCTATCACCAGTGTCATCCGTGACGAGGTCCAGCAGGTGCTGCACGCCCATCAATTTCCGCCCATGTCTGTTGATCCGGAAACGGCTTCTGTGTCTACTGAAAGTCACCGTCGTACGTACGCGGAAGCCTTGCGATCTGCCACGCCTCTTTCTGGTCAAGGATTCCCGACCCAGACAGTGCCGCACGTCCCGACCCAGACAGTTCCGCACGTCCCGATCCAGACAGGGCCGCACGTCCCGATGCAGACAATGCCATACGTCCCGCTCCACACAATGATGCCGTCAGTTGCGATTCAGTCAGCGCACGCTGATTTGGACATCGAAAGTCGCCGTGCACCGACGCGCAAGTCTGACCTCTGGCGTACGCCAGACAGACGACCCTTCTGCTATCATTGCGGTGAGGCTGGTCACATTTACCGCGAGTGCCCATACCGGCAACTTGGACTGCGCGGATTTCCCGTCAATTCCCCTTGTCCCCGAATTGGTCAAAGGCCAAGGGATATCGAAGAGTATCTCGCGCAACAGCGTGCACCCTTTACACGACGGCAATCGCGGCCACCATCTCCGAGGAGACCCGCAGCCACTGGGCCACGTTTCGGGGTGACGGCACGGGAACGCTCCCCGAGCCCTCGTCGGGAAAACTGAAGGCAGCGGCCTTCGGGGGCAAGGTCGCTGGGACTCAAAGTGCGGAAGACCTCCCATAGACACTTGCGCGCAGCGCCGAAGGCATTTCGTCAGAGAATAATCGCAGTACCGAAGAAACGCCGACATCCACATCTGAACCTAGTGACCGCGTGTCACTCGACATACCTGTGCTGATAGACGGTCTTCAGGTCACTGCATTGGTAGACACTGGTGCAGACTATTCGATTATCAGCGGGAGGCTAGCGAAAGATCTCAGGAAAGTGATCACGCCGTGGAATGAAACGCGAATTCGAACAGCTAGAGGACATGTAACACCGCTTGGTCGCTGTACCGCAAGAGTGAAAATTCGTGCGTCAACGTTTGTGCTCAGCTGCCTCGTTTTTCGCGACTGTTCGCGTCAGCTGATTATCGGCATGGACTTCCTGCGGGAATACGGTGCCATCATGAATATCTGGGAGTGCATCGTGACCTTCTCGACTCAAGGCGCAACAGATCGAGACGCTGATAACTGCCGTAGACCTGCGCTGCGTGTTTCTTTGACAGTGTAACGCTGCCACCTCGAGCAACTGTTCCCATCGAAGTCACTTGTGAAGACTTCCAAGACGGCGACGTGGTGTCTAAAATAATCCTATCACTTCTGCTGCTCCAAGGTGTATACGGCCGAAGTGTTGTGCGCGTCCATGACGGGCAGTCAACGATACTAGTTACGAACTTCAATCACGAGCACCGGCATCTTTTCCGCGGAACCACCCTAGCTTATAGAGACCCTGTTGCCGACGTCAAGAAGTGCTTCGCGTCCGAAGAAACGTATGAGGATGAGGAATTTCTAGACCGCATCGACATTATTTCGACGCTGTCAGACAAGAGAAAGGCTGCACTTCATGACCTTTTAAGGAAGTTTCGACCTTGTTTCGCCTCTTCTTCTGAAGTCTGTCAAACACACCTCACGAAGCATCAAATTATTACCGACGATGACGTCCGCCCCATCCGGCAGCAGCCTTATCGCGTTTCTGCCAGAGAACGCGAGGCTATTCAGACACAAGTAAGAGAGATGCTCGATGACGGGATTATTCAACCATCCAGCAGTGCTTGGTGCTCGCCAGTCGTTCTAGTGAAGAAAAAAGACGGAACGCTGCGATTCTGTATTGACTACAGGAGGCTTAATAGCGTCCAAAAAAAAGACGTCTACCCGCTTCCACTGGTCGACGGCTCCCTCGACAGGTTACGACGCGCGAAGTATTTTTCGTTCATCGATCTAAAGAGTGGCTATTGGCAAATTGAAGTGGATGAACGAGACCACGAAAAAACCGCGTTTGTGACTCCAGGCGGACTTTACGAATTCCGAGTTCTTCCCTTCGGCCTCTGTTCTGCACCATCCACTTTTCAGAGGTTGATGGACACAGTTCTCGCTGGCTTGAAGTGGCAAAGCTACCTTGTCTACCTCAATGATGTGGTCATCTTTTTCGAGAGCTTCGAAGAACATCTGAAGCGTCTGAGAAAGTTTCTGGAAGCCATTCGCACAGCTGAACTCACGCTGAGACCTCGAAAATGCCATTTCGGCTATGAAGAGCTGAAATTTCTGGGACATGTCATTAGGGCGGATGGAGTGCGACCTGATCCAGACAAAACTGCTGCTGTCGCCGCCTTCCCTGTTTTATCAGATAAAAGAGCAGTACGCCGTTTTCTCGGCTTGTGCGCGTATTATCGCCAATTTATCGCCAACTTCTCGAAGGTAGCTGAACCTCTTACACGACTCACTCGGGATGACGTGCCTTTCACTTGGAACGCAGAACAAGATGCAGCGTTCACAGAGCTACGGCGGAGAATGCAAACAGCCCCTGTTCTTGCCCATTTTGATGAGGACGCTGCTACAGAAATTCATACAGATGCCAGCAACGTCGGACTTGGCGCTGTCCTTGTACAACGACACGGTGGCGTTGAACATGTAATAGCTTACGCCAGTCGTACTCTTTCTCGAGCCGAGACCAACTATTCTACATCGGAAAAAGAATGCCTCGCAGTCGTGTGGGCGACGACCAAGTTTCGGCCTTACCTCTACGGTCGTCCCTTCAAAGTGGTGACTGGCCACCACTCGCTCTGCAGGCTGGCAAATCTCAGAGATCCATCCGGCCGTCTCGCACGGTGGAGTTTGCGTTTGCAGAAGTTCGATAATACGATTGTATACAGGTCAGGGCGCAAACACGAAGACGCCGACGCGCTTTCTCGAGTGCCTGTGGGGAACGCTGTCAGGGGCTCCGAAGATGAAGATGCCTTTTTCGGAGCAGTTAACGACTCCGAATTTATGTCAAAGCAGCGGGCAGATGACGAATTACGCCCAGTCATAAATTCCCTGGAAGGCCGCAACTCTCAGGTCCCTCAACACATTGCTCGCGAACTGTCTTCTTTTTGTCTAAGAGGCATTATTTACAAGAAGAACGCCCGTGGTAGCGACAAAGCCTTCCTACTCGTTGTTCCTACCGACATGCGTGATGAGATCCTCCTTGCGTGGCACGGCGAGCCCACGTCAGGACATTTGGGCTATTCGCAAACTCTCGCCAAAGTACGCCAACAGTATTACTGGCCGCGACTATCAACTAGTGTACATCGTTATGTGAAAGGCTGCCGTGAGTGCCAGCGCCGCAAGACTCCGCCTGCGAGACCCGCGGGCCTGCTCCAGCCGATCGCACCACCACGGACACCGTTTGACCTCGTGGGAATGGACCTTCTCGGGCCCTTTTCCTTGTCGTCCTCTGGGAACAACTGGATTATAGTTGCGACAGATTATCTTACTCGTTATGCTGAATCAAAAGCGTTACCCCGTGGCACGGCCTCTGAAGTCATGCAGTTCTTCGTGCACCAAATCGTCCTATGGCATGGTGCCCCGTCATGCGTGATTACGGACAGAGGGACGTCGTTTACAGCACGAACGATGGAGGACATTTTTAAACTGAGCTGCACAAGTCATCGAAAAACATCGGCTTATCACCCGCAATCCAATGGACTGACAGAGAGGCTTAACAAGACCATAGCGGACATGCTGTCAATGTACGTAGACGTGCAACACAAAACCCGGGATGAGCTTCTTCCATACACTACGTTTGCTTACAATACGGCAACGCAAAAAACAACGCGATTTCGACTTTCCGACTTGTTTACGGACACAACGTGCGAACCATGCTCGATGCTATGCTTCCGTGCGACCAAAGCAATGAACTTGCTCAAGACGCTGAGCAATACACTTAATACGCCGAAGAAGCTCGTCAGCTAGCTCGCATATATACCAGTCACCAACAAGATGCAGACGCACGACGTTACAACCTTCGCCATCGAAATGTCACCTACCACCCCAGGGACCGAGTGTGGGTGTGGATCCCTGTCCGGCGACCAAGCTTATCCGAAAAACTCCTAAGCCGTTATTTTGGACCGTACAAGGTTCTTAGGTGAGTCACAGATGTTACCTACGAGGTATTTCTGGACGGCGCAGCGTCTTCTCGTCGACAGCTTCGGCCCGAAACCGTGCGTGTCGTTCGGCTGAAGCCCTACCTCACACAGTAGCCCTTGTGGTTTCACGTGCTACTACATGCCGTGACTTTGCGTTGCTGGTGCTGTTTGTGTTCTCCTGTGTTTTTATGCCTTTTCTTTTTGCACTTGGCGCAAGCGTTGACGAAACTTCCTCATTTGCGCTGCGAGTACTGGCACTCTCCCTCTTTTGGTTCTCTATATCTGCGTGTGTATGCCTTCATTTTTTTTATTTACGAGCATCGAGTCGATGCTTTCAAAGGGGGGGGGGGGACTATTGCCACATGGTTTTCTTGGGTGAGATCGAAGAGTGAAAGTGGACAAGTACGATCTCTCTGAGCCGCTGCTTGGCTAGTCGACTCAACGAGCCTATTGTATCAAGCTTGTCGTGAGTAACGGGACAATATCAATGGCGAAATTACTTTATATGGGAGTTTGAGAAATAGTATTCAATTGTGCCTGTGCAGGTCAAATACTATAAACACAGACGAAAGCGCAATATTGAGAAGCAGAGGCAAGAAATCAATCTTGCTTAGTAAGCATAAATTAGGTTCATACTCTCTGCATGAAGTAACCCAATATAAGTATCTATGGGTCACCCTTACCACCAAGTTAACATGAATGAATAGACGACATATGTAACACTTGCACCTCAGTCTTGAGAAACTTATGTCCCTTGAAGAACAAACTATGAAAGAGACCTTTTAAAAGCTGCTATGCTATGACACTCTAACCAGAACTAAACTAGAATAAGCATGTATTGTTCGGGGCCCGTATACTAGAACTAACATTAAGAACCTCGAGAGAGCGCAGCGACAGACATGTATGTTTACTTTAAATGAAATTTTGAGGTTGCATTCATCCACGAACTTCATGAAAGCTAGCAAGAGTATAGTTGGGCATGCTAGTAATACATAACTAATAATAACGTATATGGCACGTAAAAACGGAGACACAGGATAAGGGAAGGGGCAAAGAGAAGCGCTCCTCTTTGCCCTTTCCCTTGTACCGTGTCTCAGTTTTTACGTGCTACCTTATTATTAATTATGAAAGCTAACCGTACTGTAGCATATGAATTGAGAAGACAGAAGCAGAGAGGGAGTTTCATCGAGAGAACAGGGTAAGTTTTACACCAGCCGTGTATTTCTGCTGAAGTTTATGCACCTTTCTTCATAACCATAGCCGTTACAGTAAATATTTTACTATCATTGCGATCATAAGACAATACTACTTTTTTTCAAGCACATTTGGCGCCAAAAACTGTGACACTAATATTTTGTAAGTTTCTTTACTTCAGGTACCTTATTATTTCTCGGTAATAGCTATCAGACGTTGTGTTGAAGAAGAGTACCTCCCTCCACACAATACAATATTTCTGCTTAGTCGATTGCCTACTATGTTATCTAAATACTAGCCAAAATCTATTATTCTAGACACTCTGGTTGCTAAGATGGAGGAACATAGGTAAAAAAGCATGTTTTGAGATAGAAATTGGCATTATTTCAAAAACACAACAAGATAAAAGCCCGTCGATGGGCCTGTTTGATAAACACCAGTCCGAGAACCATCAACAATATCATTTATTTTTTTTTTTTTGAAATGCCTTGCTTGGCGAGCCTCTTTTGTCGCCTGCTGTGCAGCCCTATCAGCAAAGTACTGTCGGCGCAGGTGAAGGGTGCGTAGGCTCTACACTATGCAGTGCACAGGTAAAATTCCAAAGGAGTTCACCACATTGACACGGCCTATATTGGCATCATTAAAAAGTGATCATAGCATCCAGAGTGCATGCTTTCAGTGTTTGGTGTCCAAGAAAAACGTTTTTCTAAGCGCGCTCCCACATGACTATTCAACGACTCGTTAGGGTTTTGAGGTTTCCCAACAAGGCATTAAGAAATTTCGGATGAGCAAGTTCCGGATATCATGGCTTAACAGCCTCAATAACAGATGCTGGAAGGTGTTATTCATGACCGAATGGTTCACCATTTAACTTAGCTTTTTTGGAATTTACGCCAAGTTTCAGCGTCTTCTGAGCAAATGGCGTGGGATGGATTGGTATTCTTTGATGTCATAGGAAAATATTCAACCCGGATTGCTTTTTCCGTGTCCTCCAAGCTGGCTTCATTTTCTTTATTTCAAAACAGTTGAAAGCTGTCTTATAGCTGTCGAACACCAATATACATTACGCGAACTCTGCTATCAACGTACAGTAAAGATTAAAGTACTCCAGTAAGAACACGTTTTACTTTCGTGTTTTACCGGTTCTCGTGACGTAGGGACCAAACGTGTTTTTATACCCGTATAAGTATTCTTGTTTTTTTATTATACTTCAGTCAATAGTTTGCGCTCGTCTGTTGTAAGTGTTGCTTCTAGTCCCGTGTTTTATCGAGCGGCGTTTTGTCTTCCAGCATAACCCACCGAGTCATGCACATTAATTAAGCTCCTTCTACGACTAGCTGGTTCACCAGTCGGAAGGAGCCTTTACAGTATGCTCGAGTTTCTTTCAGGCATATGCCTTTTTTTCTGAATGTTTCGAAAGCATTCGACGACTTGATTAGTTCAATAAGCCCGTTATAGGCAGCTTTCGCCGCTCGTAATGATCCCCTCCGAGGAATACTTACAGTTCTTTGCCAAAATCAGTGCCACAGTGCAACTGTAAAGGAAATAAACGACAAACATAAGACAAGCGCGACTGCAGTGTAGGCCGTGAAACACTCATACGAGTGAAAAGAGATGCACACATGCCCCAGTCACGAAAGGCGTATACCTCCTCCTCGGAGCACCAAGTCGTACATTTTTTACCGCCTGACAGTCACAGCAGCCCAACGAATGCTTCAATAAATGCAATGCGCGTAACTTTAAATGGCCTGACTCACCCGTCTTGAATTGATTGTGGAGATGTTCTAGCTTAAAGGCACATGTGCCATGCATTGCCGAAGCGTGTTGTAACTACCGGAGTAAGAAATGACATGTTTGCAACGATCCGTTCCTGAATATCCTAAATATTCTGAAGTGGCACACTGACTGGAGGAAAAAAAGTGGTAATTAAGGAGGTCGTTTTTTTATGTTAGACACAACATTATTGAGAGATAATGATACCAAGGAACGCTTAGGGGGTGTTACTATAGTATTTGTACTATTAGTAGTAATATTGTAATGCAAATGTGAAGAAAAGAAAGAGGACGAATACACATTTTGCTCCAGGCTTGAGCAGAACGTGCGATCTTCAAACAACGCATCCTGTGCACTACCAACTGAGCTATACACAGTGACGGTCATTTCCCAGTCCTTAGTGTGGGGTATAAATATGCCTTTAAAACTAGGAGTGTTAGTCAGCACCGCTAGTAGCCATGGCTATGAGCGTGGTACATTCTTATTCGGTCTGTTGGTGTCATGTAGGGCGCGATCTTATTACTACCTGGCAATAAACCTTCGCGTACTACCTCAAGGCATCAAGCCTGCAAAAACAGTGACCTTCTAAAAATCAAGGAAAGAAGTGAAAATTTCAGGGCTCATTTTTCTTTCTTGCCCACTGTATTAATGCGAACGGGCAATAATGCTAAGTATAGACGAATTATCAATATAGTAGTAGTTTTTCTAGAAATCTGAAGAAAGAAAAGTAAACTAATAAATGACTTGTCGCTGGCGGGGACCTAACCTGCGACTATCGAATAATGCGTCTGGTGCTCTACAAATTGAGCTACAGCGGCGGATTATAGTATGCGAAGGATTATTGTTCATCTGACAGCTTGTAGCAAGATCACGTGCAACATGATGCCAACAGGCAAGAAACGAGTGTTCCACACTATAGCCGCCATGCCTACTAGCGGCGCTGATGAACCGCCCAATTTTAAAGGCACGCGTATACCCCATAAAGTAGACGGGAATCAGGCAGTTCTTGTTTCACGTACGTGTGGACTTCACGTACGCAAACGTGAAAAGTCCATGTAGTACATTACATTACACATAGCTCCTTCTGCTGGGAATGGCGAGCACTGCAGTTGTGAACTCTCGACAGGCTAGCTTTTTATCGCACTCGACACGGTATCTTGTCCAAGCGTCCACGCGAAGCACGCAAGGAAATGCCGGCAAAGAATCGAATCTCACGTATACGGTCGTGAGACTTGCGCGTGGCCGGTATGTTTTACGCATGCACACTGCTTAGACATAGAAGTTCTACGTACACAAATTATCTGCGTACGTGAAACTAAAACTGTCTATTATCGCCGCTGTGAAGCTCATTTGGTACAGAATCCGACGCATTATTCGAAGGTCGCAGGTTCGATCCCCGCCAGTGGCAGGTTAACTTTCGACAAGTTTTGTTCCTTCAGAATTGTGTTACGAGTACTTCTATTCATATTCCCTATCATCTGCTTTGTATAACTTTTAGTTCTCAATAATGCCTGCCACGTTGTACCACGCGCTTTCTCATGTCAGTGAACGCAAATAAAAAGAAAAGGCCGCTTTTCGCGGATTTCTACCTCGTTGCGTATGATATAGTCAGTGGCAGGTCAACCTTTTCAGACACTGCGCTCATTTGGGTCATGCAATTTTCGAATCCAGAAAAGTTATTGACCGGCGACTGATCCAATTTCATGAAAGTTTACAGACGGCACTTATTTGAGCAGTAGTTCTGTAACTTGTTGTGTACAATAAAATATTACAATAGAATATTCAAATGTGAAATTTAAAAAGATTCAGCAGATACCATTTATCATGGGAATCTCAGGTGACTGTAGTGTATTTGTTTTATCTAGCAATGAGTTACAAAATAACAAATGGTAAACATTTGCATGCGTGTTACATGAATAGTTACAAGAGTACTGAAAGGTTGGCGAGTTGGTACTGATTCATGGCTATCTCTTTTACCGCAACATACACACGACCATACACACGCCCGTGATGTCTGCGTCTTCTCGTACGTGTGTATGTTGCACAAAAACAAAATTGACATGACAAGCTTCTTCCAGTTGCGTAACGATACAAAGAGCAACATGGGTATCACCAAACCCAGAGGGCTGATATTTAGCAATTGTGCTTGCGAGAACTGTATCCCTGGAGAGTGCTGCGTAGACCGATTTCAGGAAATGGCTCATAACTACAATGTGCGTTAACCGCACGTGGCCCCTATAACATGTAAGTACATTAATGTTCATAAAAGTAGTTAGCCGCAGGTTGCGGGATTGAATCCCGGCGGCGGCGGCTGCATTTCCGATGGAGGCAGAAATGTTGTAGGCCCGTGTGCTCAGATTTGGGTGCGCGTTAAAGAACCCCAGGTGGTCGAAATTTCCAGAGCCCTCCACTACGGCGTCTCTCATAATCATATGGTGGTTTTGGGACGTTAAACCCCACATATCAATCAATAAAAGTAGTTAGACAGCACTGCAATATAAATTGATGTTTCACCTACATTATGCCAGCATAGGATATTTTTTCAAGAGGTTCAATACCTAGCGTGGCTCTGCTGTGGAATACTTGGCTGCCACGCAGATTGCTTTCATTCGATTACTGCTGCAACCCGCGTATTTATTCTTTTCAATAACCGTGACAACAGTGTCGATGTCTGTTGTTTTTAACTATCTTGCGTTTTAATTACAAATGTCTGTTTTTACCACTTCTAGGTAGACATTAGGTGCCAGTCACCTCCGCCGCATAATCGCATACCGCGATCCGTGACATAGGGGCATGCACCACGCATGTCCAGCGGGAGGTTTTGACAAAGGGCGTGGAGGGATTTTCCCGATATTCATGTCATGACCAGCCAGGGATGTTCGCCAAAGCGGCTCACCCTTTCATTTTAGTTTTGGTCTCATCAAAGTTAAGAAAGCGATCAGGAACGCCCCCAAACGTAACCACTTAGATAGATAGATAGATAGATAGATAGATAGATAGATAGATAGATAGATAGATAGATAGATAGATAGATAGATAGATAGATAGATAGATAGATAGATAGATAGATAGATAGATAGATAGATAGATAGATAGATAGATAGATAGATAGATAGATAGATAGATAGATAGATAGATAGATAGATAGATAGATAGATAGATAGATAGATAGATAGATAGATAGATAGATAGATAGATAGATAGATAGATGCAATTGCCAGCAGCTTGCTAAAAAATAATTATTGATATGTGGGGTTTAACGTCCCAAAACCACCATATGATTATGAGAGACGCCATAGTGGAGGACTGAGGAAATTTCGACCACCTGGGGTTCTTCAACGTGCACCTAAATCTGAGCACACGGGCCTACAACATTTCCGCCTCCATCGGAAATGCAGCCGCCGCAGCCGCGATTTGATCCCGTGACCTGCGGGTCAGCAGCCGAGTACCTTAGCCACTAGACCACTGCGGCGGGGCGCTTGATAAAAAAAAAGATAGTTCGCATTCAAGACGTCATTTTGAATTAGTGCTCCCACCAGCAAACCACATGGTTTTCTACAGAGACAAAAGTACTTTTTGTGCGTAGGAACGTCAGGGTCTTTAAATCGTCGACTCATCTCCACGAAGTAAATTCTGACGAGGGAGTGTATCGCATGCGTGAGTAACCATAAGGTTCGCAAGCGTTGCCCGTATAATGTCAGCTGAGTGACGTAAAGGAAGAAAGGAACGAAGGAAGGAAGGAAGGAAGAAAGGAAGGATAAAGACAACAAGACAGAAGGCAAGGATGTTAACCAGGCACATGGTTGGTTTGCTACTCCACGCCGGGGGAAGAAGAAAGAGGAGTATCAAGAAAGAAGAGAGAGGGAGGAAACAGAAGAGAAAGAGTCGAAGACAAAGCTAGGTGCTAGGGTGCATTATGTCTACGTTGAAGTCGCCGACTATAGACTAGTCGCCGACTAGATGAAGTAGTCTACAATTACTTCTACTAAAATCCCCTATATTTTTCTTGGAATCACAGTCTGTTAGTTCTCATTAATATTGTCTTTGCCGAGTTTGTTTTTGTTGTGCAACTATACTTTGAAATAATTTGGAGCATTCAGCGTGTACTCACCAAGGCCCAGTTGTAGAAGAAGAGTTGGGTGGAGCTGAGGTCACTGATCCAGTCGATACGGAACTCCGGGCGTGGGAACGCCTTTTCGAGGACCATACGCTTGAAGTACTATCAATAGCAAAGAGAAAGGAAAAAGAAATGACGCAAGAATGATGCAAGTGATACTAAAAGAATGGCTGGCTTAGACTATGTCTTGCCATACACAGTCAAATTCTGTACGCGCATAACACTAAATATATTTCCTAGAGATTGCTTAGAAGTGTGGATTTGAAAATCACCTATTATGTGTAAGATTTTGGCGGTGTTTTGGCAGTAGCAGCTTCCCTTCACGCAAAAGTTAACTACCTACCAACAGTGTTCGTTAATTCTCTCTCTCGTATTGAAGTTGCACCTCAGATGTGCGTATTATTTGCTTTTTTATGGACAATGTTCACAAGTATGAAAGAAGCCACTAGTTCGAGAGGGCCAGTCGTTCTGCAAGTACTCAAACTTAGGGCGGGTGACTTAATTCTGTGACAGACGGGTAAGCACTGTACAAAACTAGGGCCCAGCCGCACCGATTGCCTTAGACGAATACATTTCATCGCATATTGAATCAAAGCATAGGTCGAGGTATTGTTGCATGGCCACTTTTAATCGTGATTTGGCTAACGTCCGAGCCGAACTCAATCCACGTCGATTCTGGTAGCAATCGAAAGTGTACGCATGACACCAGTTTTATGGCACAGTGTGAAATCAAGCTCGACCCCACAAGGGCTCTTGGGGTTCACACGGCTGCTGGCGTGGCTACATGGTGGCAGCGAAAACTAGCTAATGAGTCAATGGCGTCTGCGCCGCAACCACCCCTGAAGTATGTGAAAACGTCGCACACCTTTTGGATGTCTTTGAAAACTTGGGCTCCATTGTTTTCTTATTTTACAAAATTGAACAAGGAGCTAAAGGATGTTGAAGCAGCCAAGTTGTCAGTTACCAGAGGTGAAAAGGTTCGAAATTCGCACTGCACCTTCAAGCTCAAAAAAGCGGCAGACAGAATTGAGATCAAAGACTGACCAGATTTTTGGTTCTTCTAACTGAAAATAAATAACTGCAATGCGAAGTTTTTTGACGGCCTGTGTAGCTCTTAAAATGTGTTAGTCAAAACTCACACATCATTTCTGTCTTCGCTTCGTTGATCTTTAATGTACCTTACGGCTTTCACACCTGTTAGCCTATGACAACTTACGACGTAGATGATTGAACGTCCTTTGGCTGCTTGTTCTATTTTGCAGCAGTCTAAAAGCACAGAAACTCATTTTAACAAGTTTTTTCATTTAACAAGTTTTTCAGCCAATTGAAAGGTCGCGAGACGCCTGCACGGCCTGTGGAAACTGTTATAGCAGAGACTCCACTAACGTATCAACTGGCTTTTGTTGCCTGAATGTATGCAGTCAGTAGTCAGGGAAACCCAACAAAAGCCCACCTTCTATAAGAGAACAAAATATAGTACAGCCAAGCAAGCAAGCACGCCAGTTTTCATTCATGTAAGCGTTGTAAATCATACGTTTTAAGTAATTAGTTTTTTTATTCTTCTTCTGACATTTTAATTTTAACTGTTTCATGTACTAGGCAAAGTTTGTTTTATGTTAGCTTGGGGATCGATACTGCTTCATACTGATTATCAAATTAGACGAAGAAAAAAGCAAAAGCGTAATCGCCTGCTTGCCCTCATTCATTCAGCTACGGTGAGCTCCTTAAAAGCTCCTCCCTCTCCACACATAACCACACTTAGGGGCCAAGCCCCGTTCCTTTTGAATAGGTTACTGGATCTACCCAAGCGTTAGTTCCATTTCTAACTGTACGGGCTACTACGCAAGCTTGGCCGTTCCACTCACCCTGTACGCCGGTATTACAGCTGCGTGGTAGTGAATGTCCATTGCTGGTAGGATGGAGGTCTGCAAAAGGCAAGCACAGAGAGAGCGTAACCTTACGCAAAAGGAAAAAGGCACTTGAAGCAGCTTCGCTCTCAAGGCGACCAGCAGGACCATATCCAAGGGCCATTAGGTCATGTCGTTCGTTCGGTCTCACCGGACGACGCTACAGTATACTGTCACCTGCGTGTGTTACACAGTTAAGAAAGCCAATACTTCCGCCGGTGGGGCGGGGGCCTGGAACAAGTTGCGAGGGCAGTTCACCCTTTATTCCACCAAGTTGTGCGCAGAAAAATAACAATGGCACGACATAGCAAATATATTGCCGCATGTCGTCATCGGTCATCGATTATCTTATGTTTATCTGATGTTTATCTGATGTTTATCTGATGGTCGGTGCAATTCGTCAGCTTTGATACGTACAAGACCCAAGAATTCAGCTTCATCGACAGTGTCCTTGTAAGTTTCGAATTAAACTTGACTGGACGCATTAGGCCGTGACACGTTATCAGAATTATTTAAAACAACTGGGATGTTTCACGGGTATCCCGGCACCGTTTCTGCCAAGCTGCGGTTACATGTATAACATAGTGGCTACGTAATAAAACAGAAAGAAGCACGCGCTCCAAAGCGACTTTTTGTTAGCGCTATTACGGCCCAGCACCACATGGTGAAACACCGCCAAAAGCTATGACTTTTTAACAGAGTGGAAAGATATTAAATGTACGTCTAGAACAGCCATATCACTAAACGGGGGAAACAACCAGAAAATTAATGCAGATTTCTCAGAATGAAAGCTTCTTTATACACCTGTCACACTAAGCAGCTTAAGTGCACTTCTAGAGAGGGAACTTCACCGCTAGTGTCACGTTGTGATTGCGAACTGCTATCCTTCTCAATACACACTTTCACAACGCTTAGTTAGAACAATTCGACTGAACATGGACCCAGAACACACACCGTAATTACATTCAACTGGTAAGGTCTTTTTTCATATGCACGTGACGCATATGTATACGTACGCTCATAGGCGTAAACAAAGACCAAACTTTGCGTGGTAAACCAACAAACCTGTCAAACGCTTTGGCTTCTTTTAACACTTCAGCCGCATTGGCGGATTACACAGTACCGATTTGCAACCAGTAGCATTGTTCTAAATGTAGCCTGGTCCCGCGAAGCGCCTGCTCATTCATACGCCAAATCCGACGCCGCTTTCATATCATTCGTTAATTCATGCACTCCACAACAACAAGCACACGCGACGAATTATCCACTCCGACTTGCGCGCCAAATTCACGGAGAAATCCCAAATGCACGCACAGTGGGCACATGGAAAATTTTCACTCACGTTATCCTTCCGCTCTGTCGAGAGGCAGAGGGCGTACTTTTCCATTTTTCTCGACCACGAGTAACCAACCCAGTTCTCCCCCACCTGCTGGCCGCTGACGACCATAGACCCTGCAATAGCGTTTGCATACCGTAATACACACAAGAAAGTCGCTGCTGTTCAACCAAAATAACAAATGCACTAAACTCACATTAAAAAAACCATTCATTGGCCTAAAAACACATCGCTTTGAATGACGTTTTGTTACTCCGATTGCAATTTGCCTTTAACGGCGTATTCACTCACCCAATGCAATTTCAATGCGAACGTCGAAAATAAATCAATTCTTGTAATGCCACAGTTATTTTTCGAAGCGATAAGAATATTGCCACGCTCCTTTCTTTATTGAGTTCGACGTGATCGGGTTTCGCACACACAAACTGTTAGCCCAACTTCAAACAGAGTGGCAAGCAGTACTTGGGAAGCTTCGTCATCGTTTCGGACACTTCAGACTGCTTCCTTCTTCACTGTCATGGCCATAGGCATGTGCAGGGTTCTACTTTACGTGGGGGGAAGATATTATGTCAATGTATGGGGCCGACTTTGCATCCCCTCTTCTTGCTTACCCCTCCCCCCTGCGACCCCTGTACGCACGCCTATGGTCATGATCACCACTGAACACATGTCACTATGTTCGACAACGTGAACTCGCTAATGGTTGACACATTTGAAGTGTCAAAGTAACACGATTACATTCACCGCTTTTCCAGGATGCAAGAGGCACTTAAAACCTCTAAATAGGATGTGAACAGATATAGGGCAATTACCAACACATCTAGAAAATTCTCTGCGCGACCACGTGTATTATGGAGACCGCTGTGTATATACTAAATATGTGATGGAGTTGAGATGCAGTGCAGGTATTTGAGCAAACTTGCAACGTTACCTTCTTTCTGTTCTTTGTAGCGTGTTAAGCAAAGAGTGTGTTCATCAGCTGCACACCTTAAGGTTTTATTCCAGCTGACAGCATTATTGAAATAAGTTGTGTTGCCAAAGTGCGGTCAATATTGCTGAGAGAATGTGTAAACGTAAATGTTGGCTTTCAGTGCTGGAGGCTTAACGCGGCCTAGCAGGCCTTTCTAATGTGGAGTACACTTGCGCGTGCATCTATATTTGGCATTTATTCCAAAGCAAGAACAAGCTTGGCTAGGCTGAGGAGCTGACCTTTCAGTGTTGAAAGTGAACACCTTTTGATCACCAATTCAACGTCGACATTTTCCTTTCTCCAAACAGTTACAGTCGATATCAGCAAAATGTTTGTACAAAAAGTCAGTATTCAACAGATCAGTCATTTTGCAATGAAAACTGGAAGCCATTTATCAGTGCTGGCCACGAACTTCCTGAGATAAATACGTTAACGCTGAACGCCAATGCTGGCAGTTGGCACGGGTGAATAATTTTCTTTTTTTTTGTATAAGAATAATGTTCTCAGGAGGCGCGCATCCAGGCAACCCAACGAAACGTGTACACGCCTGCCAGAGAGGAGGCGTTGGCCAGACGAAGTAGCGAACGTGCACGCGTGTTGGTGGAAACGTGGCTAGCGTGGGGCTCAGGCTATGAATCACTCCAGTTACGCTGCACGCGCCAGTTTCTCATGCCCATAAATATCGCGCGTGCTAGTGTGACCTTGGAAAAACAAAGATCAGCAAAGAAAGCCAAGCTTTTCATTTTCAACCAGACGTCACTTCAAGTTCGAATAGCAGTATATTGTCACTTGCTCGTGACGGTACAAAAGACTCCAGCGGAAATCGGGAACCGCAGCGCTTCATTTGGCCGAACTTGTCGCTGAGATGCTAAATTGAGCTGCAAGTGGTAATATTAATAACCAAAATAACAACATGTGGGGTTTGACATCCCGAAACCAGGACATCGTTATGAGAGACGATGTAGTGAAGGACTCCGGAAATTAGGACTATCTGTAAATCTTAATGGATAGTGGCGAACGGTGCGTCAACCGACGAGAAAACTGAACCACCGCAAGGCGCGTCGGCATTTCTGCATGCGGCAACGAATATTCGAGTATCATCACTGGTTACCACGCTTGTTCGAGAATAAAATCAGCTGTTCGCGTTTGCGTGCTCAAGCCCGAATGATAGTGGAAACATGATCTGAAATGGTCTCAGACATTTTGGTGAGGTTCCCGTAAGACCTTATTAACACACGCGATAGACCGGCAATGTATAAAATAGAAAGGGGCGTGTGAGACAATATGCTACTCCGAGTCAATTTTGATCTTTGCTGGTGAGTAATGCCGCCGGCGACCATGATTATAGCATTGCTAAGCAGCCGGTCCGTCAACGCACACCCCAGGAACAACGAACGTTATCACGGGCTTACCAAAGGTGACGTTCTCTGTTTCACGTAAACGTGGGAAGTCACCCGACCGACTAACAACAGCTACGAAGTGAGCGTGTGTACTGAGGAGGTGTCTCGTTGCCTTCGCCGCCGGCTTGCGAGAGAGAGGAGAGCGTAGGAGAGAAGAGAGAAAGTGCGAGAGGGATGCGCATGCGCAGCAGAGAGTGCACGCGTGAGAAAAGGAGGGATAGGTCTCCAAAGAAAAGCTGTTTAAAGCTGTTTCGCCTCTATATCTGATTCAACATCAAGTGTATCTATTAACATGGTTGCTGAAATCTTTAACAGTTACTACGTCATTAGTTGAATCTATGTAGTCTACGAAATTTATGCACAGTCGAGCAACAGTAGTTAAATTATTTGCGACTTAGTTACCTTAGACTTGACTCGCCGTTATCAGTGCCAGTGTATATTCCTGTAGTGTTACCCGCAGTTTCACGGCCACAAGTTCGACCGAATAAATAGTTTTCTCTTTGACATGCTGACTGTTGCATTCGTCGACGTTACGGTCATGTGGCACTATGTTGTTGGCTATTGTAAATAATGGTCAGTTTTCAATAACAAAATTCTTGTGATAATACTGTTTTTGCTCTATTCGGCTACAAATGTGGCCATACATATAAATGACTCAAGCTAAATGACATTTAGCTTGAGTTTTTCCTCTAATAATCCACTCCACGGCAGCTCTTGTGAACGCATTCACGCGTTTGCTGACACGAGGATCATGTTAATTTTGCCTAATACTACGTTTACGGTTGAGGAATGCTAAACGCAGCACGACTGTACTGTTTGACCATTGTCGGAGATTTGTGTACGCGTTCGACAATAGGTTACACTTGGCTCCCAGAGCACACACACACGTGTGTGTTCTGGGAGAGAGAGAGAGAGAGAATGTGTGTGTGTGTGTGTGCGCGCGTGCGTGCATGCACGCGCGCTTATGTTATCAACGTAAGTTTTTTTTCTCGTGTGTGATATTTTACACAAAAGGTTACAACACGATCACAATGCTCTTACCGGCGTTAGCGTCGTTCAAACACTAAGACCACGAAAACAATGCAAATGCAACTAAAATATAAATTCATTTTCTCACCGCTCATTGTCAAGGCTTTCATGACACCGACCATCACCAGGTAGGCAGACGCTGCGGTAAATATGCGACTGCGCAATCATGGAATAAAAACAATCAGTTTCTTCATGCAGCAACTTTATGGAACGTTGTGGAACTCATTTAACTCAGCAGGAGAAATCTAACATACAGACACCTTGGACCAAGTTAAGCTTTCACGAATATTCGAATGCTCCGAGTATTACTCGTCATTCTGCAAAAAATGATAATCCGCTAGACTGGAAATATTGAACTGTTCGGAACAACGCTTGAGGCTTACAAAGAGTTTAATATAAATACGAGCTGACAACCATCACGAATTTCGCTTATTGCACACACTTTATTTTTCAAATAGGGAGCTCTCCAACCTCCTTGGATTACTGTCGCACCTACAGCGTCGTGCCAATACGATTCTCACAAGAAATACAGACATTTAGTTCATACCGCGTTTCCGCACTACAAATAGATACCGAGCCTTGGCTTACAACGTTCCCACAACGCCTAACGCGCACGAAAGTACAACCGCCTGCAACAAGAAACAACTTCACTCACATTTCTGCTCTCCGGTTCCATAGAAACATGCACAAGCAAACTATTCTCACAGTTGATGTAATGTTTTTCTTAGTTCAGTATATTATAAATAAATTGCGTCGTGTTACATCTTGGTATCATGCGTTGTATTAGAGATACAAATGTATTTTTGTTCTCGTAAATGTATAAATGTGTGCTTTTCAAGTTTTTGAGTGTCAATGTATACGATGGTCTATGCGCGGTGAATATTGACATTTGGAAATCCTTTTTTACGCATTTATAATAACTGTTTAGAAATAATCAGTTGTGAGCTGAAATTTAATTCAGTATGTATTGTTCATTTTTTATGTTGTACTTGCATGTTATGTAATCATTTCCGCACAACTGCCATGTGTGTGCACATAACACCAGGACGTTTGTCAAACCGTTCTCACGACTTTGAGCCTAGGTTACCTTCTGGGTTTGATGGTAAATAAAACAATTTAATAGAAATTGAATTGAATACGGACGAATAGTACGGTATTCGAATTCACTTCAGTTTGAATTAATCTATTAGGAAATTTTTATGTATTCAATATGAAAAAAAATAGGTACATACTATTCCCTAATTAGGTTCCAGTAAAAATGGTTTCACTGCAGTAGAGGCATGCTAAACAAAGAAAACTCTCATGCCCCCATCCACCCTCCCAAAAAATTCACATTGTGGCAAAGCCATATTTCGACTCTCAATGAATATATTACCTTAGGATGGATTCATCATTTCCTAAAGTTCAAATGATTAATTTATCAGCCTATATGTTCTAATTAGAGTAAATTTTGAACCGAAACAAACTCTACAGGTCATCATCACGTGCATTCTACCGAAAGTCAAATCGTGCTACAATTCAGGTTTGCTTCCACTTTTTTTTTTAACCAAGAAGAATAGCATTTGCACATGTTCTCTTTAACTTCTTTCAACATCGAGAAGGTTAGTTGAAAATCGCATTTCCTTCGAACCTAAAATTCACTATTTGCACAAGACAGGGCTAAATGATAGCCGAATATGACAATTCACGGACCATCCGACAGATCTGCTGC